CTCTCTTTGACACCGCGTAAAATATTTGGGGAGGATGGTGGTACCGATGGCAGACGACGATTAAGGGTAAAGGGACATGCTGTTAACGTGGAGTCACCAGTCCTGGGCAGGAGCCCTACAACGTTCGCAGTGGACTTGCATTGTATCGCGCGCTGTGTATTCAAGAAGAGTAGAAATGTAGTGCGGTCTCTGGCTTAGCGATCTTGGACTTACATTTAGGGTTCGGGAACGGCGAGTTTAAGAGAGACTGCAAACGAGAGATGAGGACAAAATAAAGGAGAAAGAGAGACGGCAACCCAAAAGAAGATCGGCTCTTTTTGTTGGTCCACCATAAGCGTTGAAAAGAGAAGACGCTGCAGTAATGGTGTGTAATGCTTCTCATGCCCTCGTTTCTTTTGCCAGTCCGCCCCGTGTGCATCACATCACATACAGACACATCTCAAAGGCAAGTCCAAGTCGAAAACAGACTAGACCACCCCACCCAAATCTGCATCATCGTTCTGCCTGAACTACCTTCTAACGGCCTTTCACAGGCTGGTTACTTCCCACCACTACGTTCAGCTGTTCACAATGGCGGTTATTCTGCTTATACAGCGGTAACAACCAGCCTTAACATGACCTCTTTCGAATATACTGCTCTCCCGCATCACTACAGACCGCACACGTTAGCTGAAGTGGTAAGAAATGGAAGCCCATATGGTCGTTGTCACCATTATGTCCACAGAAAAAAAACAATGGTATGCCCCCAGTGGACGCCAACTGCTTGACGATATCCCAATTCTCAGCTACAGCGGTATTATCAGCATCACGCATGAGGAGGCATTGGTAAGCGTATGTTGCAATAGTAAACCTGTTATCCCCTAAGTACAGAGGCTCCATGTACTTTTGTGGGAGAACTACCAATCCCTGTTGAAGTGTCCCTAGTAATGCATTGTGCGAAGAAGTCGGGCACTGACAGCACGCAGTAGGAAGACAGGAAGCTGGTAGTGGCAATGATAGGCGTTCAGACGAATGTCTGGTGCACACGAATGCAAGGGGATTGTTCTCCGATGAGGGGGTCAGGGCAAGTTTGATTGGGAGGAACTGGCGACCATCATCTTGTACTCGTATCACTTGTTCTCTGATTCTGTGGAGCTTCCTGAAAGCTTGAAGCCAATGCAGTTCAAGTTTGCACTCGGATAACCTCAGCAGTCAACTCCGGAGACATTTACTGCTGCAGTGCCAGCAGCAGCATTATCGGCCATTCACCCGGCTTGTCACGCTGACATATCCTTTTCGGCTATATCTTAGCACTGTCTTACAGCCTGGCGACGGCAGCTACGGCAAGACGACACCAACAATAACTCCGAAGGAACCAAGTAACTCGTACTACGACGTTTGCTGCTAGTAGAACATATTGGCAAGTGTGAAATGTGTTGTCAAGTTTTGTTGTCAACTTCCGCTTACTAGAGCTGCTTATTGTAGCAGTGGTGCTGGCAGCGTCATATGCGAAAGCAAAAACTGCCGCGTTAGCGGCTGACAAAAGATAAATCGGAAGAAGAAACAAAATGACGTTCTCTTGATGCACGCCGGTCACTGATAGTACACTGGGGAGGCCACACGGGAACGTTTTCCAGTATAGCGAGCTGGTGAACATGGTGTCTCACAACTCGCTCATGCTTTTACCGTTACGGTTTTCACACAGTTCACAGCGGTAGTTTGTTGTAGGCTCTGTGCCTATCCAGTTTGCGACAAAAACTATATCCTGCTTCGGACTAGTCAAGTATTGAGACGACTGATACGTTGCTAGGAAACGACTCTATATATACTAGTCGTTGTGTCTCACAGCAAACCCGATAGTGGTTTTGCTATAGATGGCAGTATTAGACCAATAAGCAGGGCTTGAGGATATTTTGAAAAGAATAGCTAAAAGAAAATAGTAAGCAGCAAACGGATAAAATTTAAACCTTTAGACAAAAATCTAAAAAACATAAGAATCAAACATACTTCAGTAATATCAAGACAATACGAATCAAAGATGCAGCTGACTGTGGCAATAGTAAAATGAAGGTATAAGAAGTATTTACAATGTAATATAATTTAATATGTTAGTAATAAAATACTTCATTAAAGTATTTGCAAATGTTTTTTTCTGGAACAGCACTTAGGTCGAGGATAATGTCACAATACTCAAAAATTGAGACTTTACTAGGTTCGAAAAGAAGATGCCCATTATATTTGTTTCATCGATTTACACGTTAGCGTTTTATTCATTCAGCGTTTAACGAAACTGATCCGACTGCTTTCAGTATGTTTTAGGTATACTAGAGACTTTCATGAACCACTGCCTTTTCCCACTGATTGTCTACTTACAATAAGCAAAGAGTACTGAAGGTGTTCGCTTAAACGCCGTGTGTATGGTAGCATGGCAATGGCCTTGTTATGATCGGTCATATTCATTTACACTCTCTCACTTTTTCGTGAAATCACCTCAGCTTCCTCTACTTCGATCGATGTCGATCAAACGCCCCATTCAAGTAAACAATCGAAAAACACCATGAAACTCGAAGGTAGGCCAAGCTTTGACTATCTCGATTGGAAATGAAACACGCACCCAGTTATTGCAGTCGTCGTCAAATGATAATTTTGCCTACATGTGAAAACACAGCGGGCGATATAACAGCGAACAACAAAGGACCTTGGGCAAAAAGGCTACACTCCCATTAGGTAAACAAGCATCGCGACGCTAAAAATCAAAAGCCGCAGCTGTACTTTATTAATTAACAATTGGTTACCTGGACAGTTATCGCTTCTCATTTGATCGGCAACACTGACTCTATTATAATAAATTCAAGGTTTAAGAAAAATATTTTAAACCTGAACGGGTGTCGAGAAATTTGGTATGGTGTCCTAATGGATATATCTTGTTATCGAGAGCCAAAGGATCGTGTGCGGCCTCAAAAAGCCTGTCTGTCTTCGGTCTATACTTAAATCTATATTTTTGCATCGGATAATAACTCTCAATTTTTGCAACGAGCGAAGATAAGCAGTGAAGATACAATAAGTTCACAATTTATTTTTTAATTACCCATCAGCTTGTTTTTTTTTAATGCAATGGTCTTAATTATTCATATGCTTCTAATCTAATCACACCATTATCCTTCCATGTTCTATCTGAGCTATATCTCACAGATCTTGAAAGGGTTCGGAACCGGAGAGCACAACCTTTGCCGAAAAACAGATAAGCCCAAAGGCGACCCAGCTGTTAGTAAACTAGGTCTGGCGTTTCTTTATAATGATTGTGTCCGCTTGAGATTTTGAAAGTTCAATGTTACGACAGTCATAGATACTCTAACGTTAAAAGGATATCGAACGGTGTCTCAAACAGACAAATGATTTCTCAGATATTTTTAAACCGCAACTAAACACCTATATTCGCGATCATGGGTTAATATTTATCAAGGCTACACATTCTATGGTCTTAGAATACTTGTGGCGCTATACTATTTCTGGAATTATCTAGCTACCCCTCGTAGCCTCGAACGCTTCTCTTTAGTTCAAAAAAGCCTGTTCACATGTTCTCCGCGGTCCCGTACACATCCTGAATATCACAGTTTCCCTTACCACTAGCCCTGAAAACATGAAAGCTCTAAAAATTCCAACGTTTGCCTCCTAACCCCTCAAGCAAGACTTACCTCGTTTCTGTCCGTACGTCGTTTTGTCCAAATTACATTGACGACGACAATGCTAACACTCGTTCCCGGACCGGCGGCGCAAGCCTAAGGCTCCAAAAATAACAAGTAATGTTTGCGTCATTAAGAGGACCTGTGCAATAACAATTTTGGTAATAGTAGTTGCAGTAGCAGCTGGCGGTTTACGTTTGCACAATCACTAATGGGTGTTCTCTTCTCCGTAACCTAAATCCCCTAAGTCGAGGAAGCTCAAAAAAATAGATATTCCATCCATCCATCCATCCATTAGCCTTACCACTACTGGAAGGACAACACCTACACAACATGCTTGTTATGCATCGTTTATTTTGCTTCGTTGATCGTGTTTCGTTGAGTCGATCGTTTTATTTATACGTGAACAAGTTTAACGTATGTATGCACTGCCACGTCGTATCCTTCTACTATAACTAGTGGCCACCCCAATTTACTGCTATGATGGCTTGTTGCTGCTTTTTCACTGCTTTTTACGTATTCGCACAGTTACAACGTCGAAGAAACGTGACTGCTTTCGCCTGCTTGTTCGTAGTATCGAAATTTTATTTTCCTTTTAAATGAGCGATTTAAACAGTATAGCGGACAACGGCACACTATTCACTGATCACACTTATGATGCCAGTGAAGGTACGAAGCGGCTGAACAGCAATTATCGCTAACAACTGTTACCGAGTGGCAGCCCCGTATATACAGCTTTCCTTTTTTTAGGGGGATAGGCAGGGGGTTACTGATTTCTGATCCTATTTGAACTGTCGGCTGTATCCAGAACTATTAAAGACTTTCATGCTTATTAAAGCTTTCATGCTTACAAATCGTTATATTTTTATATGAGAAACTTTTACTATGGGCGCATGGATTGAATTTCTTTTTTGCTCATCGAGCCAATAGCAAGCTCGTTTTGGCGAATTATATTGATTTAGAGGTAAACTGATAGACATACAATGCCCTCGCAATTCCTACGATTTATCGTTTTAGAGATAATGTTATGGACTCAGTAAAGGTGAGACTGCAACCAGCTTTTGCATTGTTTGGCTATCTCTTTGCCGGTTCTTATTTGTTAGCCTTCATGTTTCTTATCGCGTGGAGAGTCGCAAAAAGAGTCCCTATGAGGCCCCTTAGACGACTCGTAATGAAGTAGGGTAAGAACCGCGCCGAATAACGGGCGAGGATTACCCAGGCAAGTATAGGGTATAGAGGTTGTGCCCTCTGATAGCAAAGTAAATACCTAATACGTAAGGTAATGAATGTCTTTTAATACATGTATCTTGGCTATTTCTAAATCTCACAAAATTTCAGTTGATTGTGCAATCGCCAATAGATATTTCACTTCAACATACGGTCTTCAACATTTCAACAACGGAGCAGACGCGTACGGGTTGTTAAGAAAGTCTGTCGAGAACCGACTCTCACAACCAGGCCTAACTGAAAGCGATCAGCTCAATTTAAACCGTCAGAACAAAGCAAAACGAAAATTGCCTAAGCATCATGTCCGGAGCTATTCACAAAACCTTGAAAACAAAATCAGTACAGCATTTCCCAACGAAGGTATACGTTTTTTTTTTTTCTAAAATATGAAAACTCATTCGCGTAGAATGGCAGGTCTTCTGTATAAATAAACGATGATTATGTTCCTACAAGTTGTCAACGTTACGTTAAAGACACATGTTTTTTTATGTTTTACGTTTAGTACTTGTGCTGTTAAGGCATTACTTCAGACGGCTAGCACGAAACAAAATGTGTCTACGCTCAGATTCGAACCTAGGCCACCACATGTCACTAACTTTAGTAAACAGCTACGCTACCCGTTACGCAAACACGATTGCTGGTAAAATACATCAGTTGCCGCAATCGCGCCAGTAGCTTGCTCACTCGCTATTCGACCAGCAGCAGATTTCAAATTTCGCGCGGTCAACCCACAATAATGTGCAGTAGATGCGGGCGAAAGAATAAAATTATTGATTCATATATTAGTTGTTCTCTAAAATGGAAGAACATGAAAATTATGAATATTTGAAGCTTTTTAATGGAACAATGTGCTACAAGTAATAAGAACAAAAAAAGATAAGAATGACGAAGGTTCCGTCTAATTATATCAAAGCAGGAGCAAAGCGCGCAGTATTGGGCTGTACAACAAAATTTTACGAAGTCTCATGCTAAGAGAAAACAAGTTTAGTAAGATGCTATTTATTCAAAGGTTAATCTAAGAAAATCAGAACGGTATCTAATATAGGTTGATATAATTTTAAGCTAAACTTTGATAAAAAAGAAAACTGCATTTAAGTGCACGTACAATAAACAAGGTATTACCTTCACATCGGTGTCCGTTCATCCCTGTCTTATATTGTTTGTCATATATATGATCTGAAAACGTGTGCTTGCAGAAATTTTCATCTGAAAGCCTGCTATAATGTTTCATTTTCATAGTAGGCTACGAGTAAAACATCCTTTTTGGAGGGAAGATGGTGGGCCGAGTTGTGCTGGTCACCACGAGAGATAAGTTCACGGTTGATTCCAATCAGGCAAATACTGACTGCAGCTGCCTTTATATTGGGTCTAGTGTCCCCGATCGTTCACAAGACTTACGGACCAGATTTGAAAACTCCAACGGGGCACAACATGATGATAACCAAGGCTGCTCAGGCGTAATCGCTATGGGGTTCACGAAGACCATAAAAGCATCTCGGAAAATTCTTCTTTGTTTGAACGTGTTGTAATGCACTCGCTTTAGGAATATCTTTTCAACTAAAATGCTCAAATCGGACTCGTCAAAAAAGCAGGCAACGTTGTTTATTTATTTTTGTCATGTCACTACTTACATTTTATAAGCCAGAAAAAAATGTCCTCCTAATGCCCTTATTACCAGACATTCTAAGCCTATTTAAGCCTGCACTCGATCGACAAGAAAAAACCTATTATACACGCGTTACCGGTTTTCATGATAGTGTAGATGGTAATGTGTTTGCATGCTAAACTTAGAAACAAGTAGTGGCCTCAATTTGAAACTGAGCATACATATGCTCCGTTTTGTGCTGGAAGTTAGCCGTCTGCAGTAATGTTTAACGGCTTGAGTGCCAAACGTAAAACAAGAAAACAGGATGTCTCTTACTGGCTTAAACTGCAAGCTTTCGATGTAATTCCTAACGGCTATGTAACTACAACATACATATTTAAGGTGTTAAATGAAGCGAATACTGCCGTTGATTTGCCTCTTTTTTTACCGACACAGTTAGTGAAGACTGCGGTAAGTACAAGCCAGCGAAATTCAAAATCTGCTACTGGCCGAGTAACGAGCAAGTTGTCTGCATCTGGTTGACGTTCTTGTGATTGCTTAGTGGGCAGCGCATTTGCCTGATAATCTTAGGGATACATTGTGATTTAGGTTCGGATCCTACCAGAACTTCGTGTTGTGCTGGAAGCCAGTCGTCTGATGGAATGCTAAACGGTGATGCCGGACGTAAAAACCCGAAACGTAGAGGAATTAACTTAACCTTGTTCTACTGACTGCCTCTTAAATTTGCTGTCTCCCGTTTACTCTGTCCCCCCCCCCCCCCCAACCCTGTTCTCATAATCAATCCTAGAGTTTAGCTATGATAGAGATATAAATGAATGACCGAGTCTGTGCAGTAAGCAATCTGCTTTTCCCTGCTGTATTTGTTGTCGGTAGGTGACGTGCAGAGAAATTCTTCTAATTCTCGAGTGTCTGGAGGAGTATGGAGCTTTCACACCGAGACTCCGAACGAAGAATCTACTGCCCCTGGGCCGTCATTTGACAATTCTACTGCGTCAATTGTTACAGCAGTAATCGGCCGTACTGCGTTTCTACCTTGCACCGTCCGAAATCTCGGCGACAGAACCGTATGTATCCGGAGAGACGATTAATGTACTGAGCTCCTACTGAATTTATAATCAGTTTTATATTATTGCTCTGTCAAGCCTGATTGCAATTAGTGTTAGTGAGTTAGGGATAAACAAATTATTTAGGTGGACAAGATCTTAGGTAGGAACATCTCTTGAGGTGTCGGATGTAGCGTTCCATAGCGCATAGTTGCAGGCTTTCACAATTGTGTAGGCTACAGATAAGCGTGACCTTTATTTATTAAAGGTGTCTACGTTTGATGATAAACAACATCCGCGAGCAAGAACTGTCCTTCTGTCTTATCCCTTATTACCGTATAATTCAGTTTCCTAATGGAAATTTCTGCAGGTATCTTGGATCCGACGAGCGGACCTAAGCGTGCTTAGTGTGGGTCGTGATCGGTATATTCAGGACCGACGGTTTCAGGTAGGTCCTCAAACTGCTGCAATACATAGATAATATGTTGCAACATGTACTTATTTGAGCTTTATTAAAATTTCCATATTCAATTTGTTATCATATATAGCATAATATTCCGACTCAACAATACATAAACAACTGCTTACTTTTGTTAGAAAAAAAACACTTAATTAAGCGCTCACATTTTCCATTCATAAAAATATATTATACATTGAATTTATTTCTGATAATATACGGCTCTGCATTTGGCGTCAGCACCAGTTCCGTTCATGTCTTTACGTTAACAGGTTATGGCATCAGCCACTGGATTGCCCCTATCTTCGTGGGCCCTACAACTTGCTTATCCGAGTCCAGGCGACTCCGGCGTCTACGAATGTCAGCTGGGCTCGGTGCCAAAAATTAGCAGGCATGTCACATTGCGCGTCATCGGTAAATATTTATTCTTTAATAGAATTCGTACTTCAGGAAAAGCGAAAGAATCAGCTTTTTTGCACAGCAGCTGGTGACACTTTCGCCGCAGATGACGATTGTATAGACACGAAGGAATGCTAGAACGCTCTGACGATAAGATCTAAAGGGTATATAAGGTATATCAGCTGTATTTCCAACAAAGGAGATGCGGGTTTTCTAATATTTTTTCAGCAGTTTCAACAAATATTTCCATCAATGTTAAGATGAATCTTGCTATGGTGGCTTTGCAACTTGATTGAGCAGTGGCCAGCCTCAGGGAAAACTACCGGGTAACTATTTTCTAAACTTAGTTCCTCGGAAAAGGTACTGAGTGTTTAGATGACAGTATACTGCGTACGTTGACTATTTCCTTAACGAAAGACTAAATCTTTAGAAGTTAACCGGTACCTTTGTCCATATAAATAGCTATGAATGCATTCACGCTAACATTTCCGATGAATGTTTTATTTTTACTATTTACGCCGCAACGCAACGGCAAATTTTCTTTGACGACGTCTCGTTCTTTTACATCTACTGGAGGTTCTTGCTCGCTTATACCCTAATTTTCTCATCGCTTGTCATCATCGACACTGATTTGTACTGTGTTTACGCGCACACAATTTTATAAGGCGATGTTGCTGCAGTGCTCGCTGGTCGCTAATTACATTTAGTAGCTCTAGCCATATGGCCATATAGATAAATACATAATACGGGGTAGCTCTCGTGTGTGTCTTCGCCTGAAAATATCGCTGCACCTTCCTTAGTAGTGCAGTCATATGGGTAAGTGGCTGGCATCGACAGCACCGGTAGTTATTACCACTGTCACGGTTAGGGTGGGACAATGACCGCACGTTGAAATGAAGGGCATCTCGATGTAAGCCGCAGAATCCGGTATTTATATCACATATAGTTAGGGAAGTAAGCGGAATTCGGGCAAACAAATAGAGGAGTTCAAGGAGCTGAGGAACAGTAACAATATTACAGGAGCATTTTGAGGGTTGGTACATCTCATTCCATCCTAACTCAGTCTCTTGTATAAATGCAAACAGAGCCACTCTTGGACTATACAGAAGGGAGCAAGGCAAGAAAGATATATATATATTTCTTGCTTTCTCACTCCATATATGTATAAGCAAAGATGACTTGGGAGCCAGGGTTGCTGACCACAGGTAATCGAACTGAAATAAATGCATCGTCTTGTTTTTGCTTCATGTATTGATACGAGCAACGAAAACATCGACAAAGGATATTACGGGCGACAATATTCTTGTGCATTACATACTATAATACATAGTATGCGAAAGCGTGAGTAGTGGACGACACCATTGCATCATGCTTGTGAGGTGGGCCAGGCAGACCAAACCGGTAAACGAAGTGTCAAGGTTTTCGTTTTCTTTTGTAGTTGCCAATGGATGGGGATGTTGTGGCCAAAGAACGAGACAGAAAGAATAGGGGACGTCATGTGTCTGTCTCCGCTATCTGTGTGTGTGTGTGTGTGTGTGATGATGAAGCTTAAGCGCAACTCTGTGGGTAAAGCTACTGCTCGGCAAACAGGGAATCTGCGTATTTTCTTGTAATGCGTGCAGGAAATGTGGGGTTTAACGGGTGAGGGGCTGCCCGACCCCTCAGACAGGCCGCCATTATTCTGTCTGCTAAGTGAAATGGGCCAGCTGCCACTGCTGCCAAATCGAATAGAGCTTTAACAATACGAATAATCAGAAGGATAAAAGGAATAACGTAGCAAATTTCGTTACCATAGAATACCACGAGTCGCCAAATCCAACTAGGCGGCTAAAGTGGTCCTCTGAGATCAGGAGGCAGCGACTTGTGTAAATGGACAGCCCTGTGCACTGGTTATTAGGTCGAGCGCAATACTAATGAATATATCTATGTCATTTTCTCAAATTAAAATGCCAAACCTACAGCTTTTGAACGTTTTGCTATCTAACAACGATTTTTTGGTCAACAAAAAATGCACTGAGCACTTTGTACAGCTGTAGTTATTATAGCTTAAAAATACTCAATCCTATTTCACCGTCGATTAGTGGACGTAGTGTTTAAGTCCTTCGGGCTGCTAGAGTGGGAGGTTACACTTGAAACGGATGTCAATTAGATTGTAAGCCAACTTTAATTCGTTCTTTCTGATGCCCAGTACTAGATATTCCATCGAGATTCTAATTTTCTACAATTTTCTTACAATGCCGTGCTGTAGCGGAATACCTTTCTGATATACCGACTAGAGAGCAATCGCCCGCTGTTACTAGCCCGGATTCTAACATCCGTTAATGCGATCGGTTCTTCACAGTTTTTTAAGTCTGCATATTACCTTACCATCTGTCGATCAAGCAAGATTTTTCAACAGAATAAGCTATTGCACAACAGCTATTTATACTAAGTCCTGTATTATCACGCAGCTAATGTCAGATTCCATGATACGATTATCGGTAACGCTCTCGTTTTCATGAAGCCTAGCGACAAAAGTTCGGGTTAAATGTGCAATCTGCTCAGACGTGTGCCACTCTGTTTAGCACAGGTGCTTTTACAGAGGACTGCTACCAAGTAAATATATGTATCAAGGCTGGCTTATGAACCAAGCGTAATTAAATGGACAACATAGGGCAGAGGAAGCGGCATTTTACTTAGAAGTACGTTAATATTATGGACTATAGCATTATGACTAGTATCATATCGAGTATTGCACGCAAGATAACCATGAAGAACATCTATAGCTTTCCAATATTTTCAACAATACATGAGGAGGATGAAATAATTTTACATTAGTTTCTAGAGATAGTGACCAGTTATTGTATGCAACAAATACTAATGTTAACGTATATTTTTTACATAGGGAAATTATTTTTACAGCTTAATGTTTCTAGAAAAACAATACTAGAACACGCTCGAAAGCGACCTACCAGCATCTCAGTCGTAAACTGCGATGATGTATAAATAAAATCGTACAAACTATAGCTACTAAATGCCTTTTGTTTACGCATTCACGTATGCTAGCTCGGACAGCTCGTATTTGGGGCGGTCCTCAGCTTTACGTGAACAGCGGAAGTGGAGTAAACCTGACTTGTCAGCTCACCGGGGTAGCTGAACCCTCGAGACAACAAATAGGAGTCGCGGATACCCATACTCAATACCAGGTGCACAATACATGAAAAGAGATTGACATTCAAAGTTTTAGTACAAATATGGATTGTCTTCGAATTGTATTTAGTATTTGCTTTAGTATCGGTAATTTCTTTCCTATATTTTTCGTGTGTTAGCTTAAAGTATCTGTTTCGCTAGATATTTACGCATTTCGTTTTTAACCTAGAAATAAGGTCGCGATTGATCTCTTACCTCTTTTCTTTAAGCTATGCAGATATTTAACTCCATACGCGGCTTATTAAAATGTGTTCAAATGAACTAAAACGTCTATTTCTTTAATTGGTGTATTGGTGAAATTAAATGTAGGCGCTTTACGCATCTTCATGGTCCAATAGGACAACTGTTCAGGATGGAGGAGTTCCTGGCTTGGAACCTTCAGTGAAGGCTTCAGTATCCACCAGAAAAAACGGGGCGATACTCCGGAACGCCAACTCTGTTGGTCGTGAAGAGACAGCATCTCATGTGTTTTGGTGGGTTGCATAAAGGTCAAATAAATTTTAACAGTGTGTTATTCATATCGTGTACGTACTACTACATGCGCATGACTCAGCCGATTCGCACTAGCGATTCCCTGCTCCTGACTCAGCACCCAGGTTCCGCCTTCAGCGTAATCGAAGTTTTGTAAATGTGAAATACACTAAATCATATAGTTGATAAAACTTGAATAATAAGTTTCTTTCATATTTATTTTAGGTACCACAACGGAGAAGTTGTCAATTACGAACATATGAAGATAAAGGTGGGTCTTAATTGATTTTGTATATCAGATACAAGCATCTAATTTCTACGAGTAATAAATGATAAATGTAGTGCATAAAAAGAAGTGCATTTTGATGAAAGCATGTTTATTGTAGCGATATAAAAAATCTCTTTATTCATATGTCTGACCTGGTAGCACGCGTCCACGGATCGACTTGATAGGTCACATTCCGTATTGAAATCGAGTTTATACGATGGTTCAAGTACGGTGATCGATCACTTTAAATGTTACTGTATATATTAAATTATTACTACTATCTATACATATCTATATAACAAACTACGGAACACTTCTGTGTGAAATAACGAGGCTCTACTCAACCGGCTTCCCATACATATTTCTGTGCGTATTCGAATTGTGCGACCTTATGTACCTTCATTATGCATATATGAAGCATATTACCTAATTGGTGAGAACAAGGTAAAAAATAACTTTTTTTTTTTTATTCTACTAGTGTGTTTAAGCTCGTTGTTACGCGTGTATATTACGCTACGGCGAAAGTGGCGCCGTCATCGTCGAGTACTGTCACCAATCAAGACGCCATCCTACCTCGTCTACCTATCGTATGATGTCAATGCTCTATATACAACACAGACCGAACCGCTTATCTCCAATGTCATTTTGTTCTATCGCAGGGCGACTCATCCAGGGGTATTGATGGGGCTAGAGGTCTCGTCGATAATGGTAACACCACGTACGCTAAACAAGACCCAGTAGTGATGATGTCTGTCCTCCGGATCCGCCACGCAAGGGCGTCTCACTCGGGAAACTATAGCTGCGCGCCATCGGACGCGTTACCCGCACATATCACCCTGCATGTTCTGCATGGTATGCACTTGTCAGACATTTTTTCGATTACTTTTAGTCGCTTTATTGGCTAGTACGCTTTGTACTGCTCCTAAATGGAATTAATTTTTCTAATGATCAGTTTATTGAATAGCGTTGCTGGAGACGCTGTTGTTGCCGGCATGAGTGTGCACTACATACAGGTATAGTTATGTTGTTCGCTGTAATTTGTCGGTTGCTATAGATGTGTCGTAGATGAAGGGGAAAAGGCTCGCAATAGAAAAGAACGCAGATCCTTAGTTAGAACAAAAATACGTTTATATTAGGAAAAGATGAAAAAACAATAGTAAAAGCAGTAACTGTCCCAAGCCAGCTTCCTTTCCTGTTTCCTGTATATTAGAAAAAGTTCCGTGTGCGTGATGGCACACAAGGCCCGTTACGAGAAACTAATATAAAAATGTAGTACTGATTTGAAAACCCAATAGAACAAAAAATAAAAGATTATACGAAAATGGTTTACGACAATATCCCTAAAAACGATGTATTATCAGGATAAGATTACTGCGAGAATCAGAGTGTACGGACGAGTAATTTTATTTATACAATAGAACGCATAAAATCGATATCTTGAATTTTTATATAGCTTTCATGTTGGACGACAGAAAAATCTTAACTTCATAAAACATACACAGCGTTAGGTAATAATAATTTCCGTTTATTAACACGGGTTGTGTACTAAATGTCGTTGGCGGAACCTAGAGCAATGAACCCTGGTCTCGTTGAACAGTACAGGGTATAGTGTTTTCTTCCATTGTTTTACAGTGATTAAATTCATATGGGGGTTTCGTAGAGTCCAGGAAACAATGTCAACACTTTCTGCCGATATTGGCATTCCAAGTGCCTAATGTCATTCTAGACAGTATATAGTGATACCTAGATTAAGTTTTCCCATCGGGAAGTATTTATTTACACTGTGAAGTACACAAAAACCATACAGCTTCTCGAATTCGATACGGATGTGTATCTTACTAGGCATTTTTCTCAACGTTTTTTCTTATCATCACCGCACTAATTGCTGATGCAAGGTCTTAATAGCGCGCCAGTATTTACGCTCTTCTATGTAGTGGTATCTTCTCCAAATTCCCGGCAGCTTCGGCCGCTAGTATTGCAACTTAGAAATGTATTATATGCGTTTACCAGATAGGATCTTTTAGCCGAAATCACAAATGCATCCCCAGAACTCAGGATAAAGCGAATACTTGTCAGCCCAGCAACTGTTAGCTTATTGCTGAAACGAGAAGGAAATCGATCCGGTAGCGCCGTTTGCCACTCTGTCGAAATTCACATCATGCGGAAAGAGACTACACAAGATATTTTCCTGAATAAAGTCTGCTGTAAATATATATATATAAAAAAATATTATCAGCTGCCGGGTTAAAATATGTCATTGGTGCAAAAGGAAGTTCTTACTTTTTCGAAGTGCTAGACGGCTAGTTATGAAACTTTTTTGTAAACCATTGATCCACTCTTATTTAGTTTATTTAACCACTTTATTTAACGGGAAGTTCTGCCTCGTTGAAGTACTGTTGAGACTAGCTTAGAGACATATTGGTGACGTTAACTGAATACATAAGAATGGACGACGTATTGGATTTAAATTATGCGCTTTGTTATTATTGTTATTGAAACACTATCACTTCTTCTCTGGAAGATTCTTCGCTGAAAAAGTACTTAGAAGAAATGATTTCGTAACTTCTAAATCTATAATACAAAGGAGCTCTGCTGGACTACTATTATTATAATTATTACCAACTTGTTTAACCGATTTCTGTCTTGCAGGCGAACACCCCCCGGCAGCTATGCAGGATCCTCAGCCATCAGGAGCCACGAAGCTTATTACAGCGATCACTGGCCCTCACAGGTCGCCCTCCCTCTGGTGGAGCTGGCAACGGCCGCTCGTAGGATTTGCCTCTCTTGCTCATGTTGTACTCGTTTTGTACGCTGCATCAGTTGTGACTCCGCTATGATGTTGCGCTTATCCATAAATATGGCATTGCCATCGACTCGGGTCACCAGGAATATCTGCCCATCGTTGCAATTCTGCGACAGCTTGGTTGCTGGTCATCCTCAACCATCAAAGTCATCTTTCATCTTCATCCGTCTTAACGATCAGCCACACTTTTGGTAGCGCGTATTGGCACACCCATCATCGACGCTATTTTGCAACGTGCGGCAGTATGTATAGGATAGATAAATCAACTTAAAAATGAAATGACAGTGCACATAGGAAAACCGTCACTCACCCAAATTTCCTCATAACGAAAACATCACCTTCAATCCTGTTTTGGAGTTAGGGTAAGGAATACTTTTCCACTTAATAAATAAATAATAAAACAGTTTTTCATTTAATAGATTCACTTACGCCTGATTGTTTTTCATCTAATGAGGGTATCTAAAACTTCTGTAAAAATGGAAGTTAAGCTTATGCAACCCCATCCAAAAAAGTTTATTAAAGTTAATAGCCAATCCCAAGTGACTAAGTTTCAAATATAACTGTATTCTTTCCAGGTGTTCAATCCACTAGCCGAATGTCAAACATTTGGTACACAACAATGACGGAAACTGAACGGCTTGATTTCCAATATACATATAGAGGTGATATAGAGTAATTGTCGAAATTTTACTTGCTCGATACCCAAACAGTATATATACCTATGCAGTTTAAATACACGACTTGGGTAACGCGCGGTTGTACGAATGAAATTTCATGGGAAAATCGAATTTAATGGTGCGTCTGCATTGGCAACTACAACACTTCCTTAGATAAAGAATAAAGCATGTAGAGATGGACTGTCATAATACTCCGATGATACTACGATTGCAGAGTTCCAGTACAATGCCATAACGGTAATTTAGAAAAATCTGCAAACGATTGCACTTATTTAACACGTTGTGAAAAAGAGATATCGATTGTTTGCCGGAGGTTGACCTGGTACAAGATACGATGGCACTGAAGGCTTGTATATAAAAACAGCAAAAGGAATGAAGTCATGCTATTGCGTAACTACGTACATGTGTAAATATGACATTTGCTAGCAAACCATCCGTTATACTAGAACTAAATACCAGGAAAATATTCATTTAACACCACCATGATGGACATGATGATAAGTAAAGGATAATAAAGACTCATTAACATATGCTGCCCACGTGCGATATTTTTGTTTTCATTGTCTTTAGCTGATAGGCGACTTTGTTTTCCAGCTCTCAATTTTGCGCAAAAACGGGAACATGGTTCTCCAGGCCCACTTCAGTGAAGCTCGTTACCGAATTCACTCGAAACTTAACAGTAGGCCACACCGGTATTGCCACACAAATGGGTCTGCAAGGTAATTGATCGCTCCTAACATGTTTATTTACTAATTTCATCATTAAGTGAAATCTACATCAGGCCAGAAACAAATACCAGCAGATCTGTGCTGCAATTAACTTTAGGATTTAAGGCCTAGGAGCGGCTCCGGACGGAGCATTTTACTAGGAGTAGCCAAGATTTCCTACTAAGCATAGGAGATATATTCATATGGAAAGATACATCTGTGGAAATAGTTGGATACTTAGGAAATAAGTATCCAACTATTTCCACAGATGTATTTTTTTACTGGTGATACTGGTGAATATATTTCCGTCGGCGTAAAGCTTCATTTTGTTATAATTTACATAATTTTATAGAATCTTTTATCAATCTATGTAAAAATCAATTAAATGAAACGAACAAGGAGTCTCAGCAAACTACACTTCTCTCAATATATACAGAGCAATATTTATTATATTCATTATTTAATGCCATTGTCGTTTCTGTTTTTATTCTTACTACTTATTGTTATTATTAATCATCAATATTATAATTTTTCGTTCATATCAAACTAACACAACGCGAACTAGTTCTTGCCTTACCTTTTTCATTCTGCCCAATAATTTTCTAATAGAGCGAATACAATTGTAGCAGTTCTTTGTTCACAATTAGCTACGAGCTGCTCTTTCGGCCGCGTTGCCTTTCACTGACGTACACTTGATTTAGCATAAACAATATGAGTTCATCTTCATTTTCATTTGCGTGCCACTCTGTGAACCACCCTTTTTTTTATCTTAGGAAAAGTTTTTGCCTGGAGGGCTTTGATCGGTCCATTACAGCCGACAAATTAACCTTTACAAGCAAACAAAATAAACCATTCAAAATCTTTACCATATGACGCACTTCCATATATATATATGTATATATATATGTACTCGAACCTCCAAGCCACTTTTTTTTAGCTAACGAAAACTTCCAAAAACAACAGGACATGCCCATGCCGTAGCTGTTGTTTATATTTTGTTAGATAATCCTTTCGCGTCCTAGTTTCAATTCAAGTTTTGTGAATAGTTTCGATGTCTCTTCTTCAATCAAGATTTGTCTATGGCGAAAACAGAAAAGCCAGAGAGGAGTAGAATTAAAATGTTCCCCAAGGGACTCCAAGTTCGTCTATTTCGCTATTTCATTTTCTAATTTAGGCGTCGGTTCTTTCAGACCGCTATTTTCAAACTATAGTTTGTATACAGCAAAACCATCGAAAGAATTTCTGTGCTGCCAAAAAAATATTTAGAAAGGGTCTACCAGCTTCATCAAGGTGGACAGATGGACGCGAAATCTTATTGGGATTTCGCAAGCTTCACAGGGACGTATGACTCCCGTTTTGATGACAGCGCATTGTTTCGAATCGTGCATTGATAACGGTTAATGACAGTATTGATGCTATGGCTAAGTCCCTTTTAAAAGAGGAAGAGAGAAACGTCTGTAGAAAATTAAACATGTTGATGAGATTACATACCCAGCGTGCTGCTGGTTCGGGTCAGCGGTTGTTGATGTTGTTGCTTCGGATGATGAACCCAGAACTACCCCTAATTCCCCACCACCCGCTGCTTTTAGCCTATCCGCTACCTTCTCTTGACCCTAGCTGTACAGCTCTTTAGTCACAGGCATCATTAATTAGGCGACACAGGCCGCACCCCACTAAGCATGGTTTCCGAGAGATCAAGTTAATTTGCTTGCCCCACGTCGTAAGAAACGCACGTCTAAGAGGAGGCTGTCTGCTCATGGCCACCTGTACATAAACATCGACAGACCCACTTATTTCACCATCAGGAAGCGCTTGTAAGCGGGCATTTGCATCCGGAGCTCTTCCAAAGAAAGATCCTTTTCAGGGTGAACAATTTTCGTGCCCTCGGCCGAGACAACCACTCCAACAGGTGCATTTTGCCACGACCTTAGTTCGGCAGACGCTGATACCGTGACTTGTGCCTGGAATCGCAAACAACTCGGTTATTCTAATCGAGATAAAAAGACGCACATCATGATTTGTATGGCCTCCAGAACTAAATTATATCGTGTACCTGTGGAACCTGCTCTTTGGCGTCGCCTACTTGAGGCCGAGCAGCTGGTATCGGCGGTGCAGAGACTACAGCAGGGCTAGAAGCGGCGGACGCCGTTCCGCTCTAAAACAAAAAAAAAAACGTAATTAAAATTGCGCGAAAATCTTTCAATATAAAGGTGCAATATTAGCGGGCGCCGTAGTTATACCTTGTATATTAAACATACCTTGTTAATTATTGGACATCTTGTACCTTGGTGCCACATATAAATTTTTTTCACGTAAAACACGAGTGTAAAACCAGAAGAATACCAATTCAAACGCAGTAAACGTTTCTGATAGAAGCTACAAATGTAAGAGATACGACGAAATACACAAATAAATATAATGGTCGTTGGACTTACTAGGCTAGTAGCAGCTGCCGCAGACGCAGCATTGGCTTGTTGTTGTTGTTGCTGCTGTTGTTGCTGCTGCTGCTGTTGCTGCTGCTGCTGTTGTTGAAGACTCTGTGCAGCAGGGAACAATGGTCTTGCCGGTACCGCCGGGGGTACGGCAGCCATCATGCTGCCACCAAGCGCTGCTAATCCACCGGGATGAGGACCGAACGGTGGATGCATTCCCGGAGGGAGCGCACCTGTCATTCCTGGTGGCATCATAGGAAAGCCGAGGGGCAGAGGAAAGCCTGGGGGCATTCCATACGGCGGAGGCATCGCCCCTGGCATCCCAGGTGGTGGCGGCGGTGTGCCAAAAGGGGGCACCCCCATCGCTGCTAACTGCGGATGGTGGGGATGTGGCGGTATTCCGGCAACATTTGTTGGGTGTGTTGGTAGGCCGGCTCCTGCCGGAGGCTGAGCAGCCTGAGGTACTGGAGGTGCCGGTGGGACTGGAGGCGGTGAATCATCATCTTCACGGCCACCTCCTACGCCTCCATTAGAAGAACCCGCGTCCCGCTGAAACACGATCCCAGTTCAAGAAATGGCGCTACTTTAGCTAAAACTTCCGCCGCGGGCCTCAATTAGTTGTTAATAGTCGCTCGGTGCAAGGGGCAACCGAAAGACAAAGGCAAATGCAGACAAAGCCACAAGTTGTTCGATCCACAAGTCTATTACTTACCTTCAAATTGCCCCCACTCTCTTTTTACACACAATACAGCCATTTGGTTGTCAAAGTTCAACAAAGAAATGTGAGCACGCATTTATTTGGGAACACACGAACTTCCGTCAGACGTTACGAGTCAGTAAACGTAACGTATTCACATAGGAATGTAAACAAGTGTCCTATATACTAGCCTGGTGAAGCTTTGCGGAACGAAGTATCGATCCTGATCAACAATGCCATTATTTTCTTTCGAAAACACAAATGTTGGGAGTTCCTTTTTAGGACAGATGTCCATTAAAAACTAATAATATCGCTATTGTACCAATATTTCTCAATATGAATGTGTTTGTATGTGTCGTGTGTAAATTCCTCATTGCGCGTCCCGTTCGTGATACCGCGATATCTCGCGATCATCACGATATGGTCTCAAAGAAGCGCTCAATAAGCGACATCAAGAGACAAGCAAGTAATAGCTTAATAACTGCAGTTAGAATAAATTCTACTACTTAAGCGTGAGTGATTTGTAGCTATATCTAACTTTTTTCATTTATCACAGGCCAATCCCCGGGAAGTCTCTCAAACAAATGATACAGTCGAGGACAAAGCTCATTCTACTAGGCATGGGCTATGAGTGAAATCGAAATAGCAACAATATATTCCATTCGCTTTTCAACTGTTATCTGTCTTCTTTTCAAATTCATCTTCAGCTCAATGTCATCGATAATACCGGACACAATTTGTGATAGTTTACTAACTCCTTCGTTTCCTTCATTGAGTCCGCGACTTTGTTATTATGGTCAATCAATGCCCAAGTGAGTCGACTTCGTCATCGCCAAGAGATCTCTTGTGTAGTTCATGTTGACACATCCCTTTCTCAATAGAAGAACGCTACTCACCTGCTACAAAATAGTGACCACAGTGACAGACCGATGGCTGTGTTCTTCATCAGTTATGACTGCTGCAGCCATCGGTGCGCAGATTCGACCACAGTAGCAGCCGAGCCCTTCACAGCCGGAGTTCACATTGCTCCCATACGGAAAGTGTTTGTATATCGCAAAAAAACAGCCCTACTACAAACCCGACGGTTCAGGGCACAAATAATCATAGTCATCACATATCCTGCTACTTAATTATACACCAATACCGATTCATAAAGATTCCACTTACTTTGTTATCCTTTCACCTAGTTATTGCATTCATACTCGTCTAGATAGAAATTAGGCACACGCTGCGCCCATTTACTTGCAACGGAGTAGATGCATACACAGTGAGCAGTGCAGAACGTTTCGATTGATTGTCTCTACGATTCTCATTGAAGAACAAAGGAATATATTGAATTCGAGACAAGAAATTGCGAATGTTCAAGTGCATCACCAACCCAGAACATCAATAATGGAACAGAGGTCCACTCAAAGAGAACAGCGAAAAATTGGAATGACAAAGAAAAAATAGTATTAAGTAAATACTATTCCTTCCAATGAGAAAACCTTAATTCGAACATGAGTACTAAACGTTTTGTACATGGCATTTGCCACCTCGTATCTGTTTAAAAAATAAAGCTTTTGTCTCGATTTGTCACTTTGAGTGGGTTACTCCGATAGGTAAAAAAGGCAGCACTGAGGCGCCCGTAAGGAGTAAATAGGAGTGGTTCTAAAGCTTCCGAAAGCCGCTTGGCAAACAAATCCTAACCTCATCTTGAAACCTACCTACCGTCCCGTTTCGCCTTACCTTTGGCGTGTTTTAGGTTGGTCTGTCTGACAGGTAATATGACATGAGCAAAATACACGGCAATACGCCACTGCAGTGACAAGATTCGTTGTTATATTTATATCACGCATATAAAATAAAAGAGAGAATTTGATAGAGGCCGTAGCTGCTAGCGAATAAATATATGCTTGTAGGATTTAACAACAAAATAACAAAAGTGCCTAGCATGTGATCATTTATTGCACTACAATACGCTTTGAAGGACGTCTTTCAAAATAAAGTACGCTCGCCCATAGCATGAAACTCTACGCCATAGAATTATAAGTGATCATGCTAAAGACTTACCCAAAACCTCGTTTCCAAAGAACCGACTTTTTTTAGTATAGTTCAGTTTGTTATACGCAATGGCAATGATTGTTGCTTGTTGCATTTTGACGTTTACTGTCCTTTCTAGTGATACTACCACGCATGATGCCGATTAGTATGTTGCAAGCAAAGCGCCGTGAAGTTTCAAATGTAACACTGGTTTCTGATTTGCATACGATAAAGTTGAAAGCCTTCACTTTTTCTGTTGACTTAAGGTTTTACAAAAGGTGACCCTAGTTCATGATACATATTTTTTAATTTTACTTTAATATTTCAGCTTTAGCCTCTTCAAAATCTGGTCTACCACCTGCTAATCATGATTATGCTATGAAAAACGTTTACCTGTAAGCCACTTTGCTTGAAACATTAATCCACACATTCACAAACGCGAAGGATGAGAAAGTCAGCGGCGAAATCTATAGCGATAATGTCAGGCATGAAAAATAGTTTTAAGGCATCGGGATGCTTCTGTACAGTTTTTCTTTAGATGTTTTTTCCTCCGATTTTTGTCTTTTTTTACTACTTCGGGTGATGAAACTTACTTGGGAGAGGCGGGGAAGAAGTGAGATCGAGTGGTCTGCTGAGCAGTTGTTGTGAAACAGTAGTTGTGTGTAACGCGGACTTTCTATCGAAAAAAAAACCGTACAAAGCAGAGCATTTCCTACCTGATGTAATCTCCTGTTTAATCCTTCGACCGCAAAAAGGAGTCGCTTTCGCCCTCCAATCGATTCCAAACAATCTGGAGGAATAATCGTAAGGAATAATAATCGAGAACGAGTGGTCGTGTGCGTAATAGGTTCATAGTCATAAGTACACTGTATTATGAGCGACTACAGAGAGCTAACAACTGCAACAGTTACGACACCAAAAAACGAACAGAGTATATAGATAAGAGATATGTATAATACATCTATTTTCGTGTTATTGTTAAGAAACAAACAACACCAGTCACCATGTTCTATTTGGTAGATGGAACCCATACAGGAGTGTTTTACTGGGGGAGAAAAATGCTTTCGAATTAACCGGGAAAACCGATACAGCAGAAATAAATCTGCCTTCCGGGTCTTTGCGGGGCCCTATTTTATAAAAGGACCAAATGAACCACTGCCAATACAACACATCGTATTCCCTTCACTAGACACCGTATGAACAATAACTATTCTTTCTTTTTCTTCACAAACAGGATTTAGGGGGGAATCATGGATAGCAAACGCCACGTCATATAGACACCTAGAGTTAGAATTATAATGGACTTCCAGAAAATAGTTTTAGGTAATAATACATGTTATATTCGCTTCAAAAATGTCAACCTCATAAGTTTAATTAAGGTGTCGAAAACTTTACTTGATGACAGCACGTAACGAAAACGTAGCAAATTAAAAAAGTTTATCAATCATTCCATAAAAGGATGCCAATTGGCGTAGGAAATCGTCTGAAACCTCCAGAAAACCCATTCTACATAGTTACATTTGTTTAGCTATACATCACATAGTTCAATTACTATACGATAGGTAGGTAAAGGCGAAGATCAACCCACCGAACACGATGGATACGTGAAGCTTTGGTGTACCCGAGCACTGGCCACCGTCGTGATACGCAACCTTCGCCCTGCGACCTGCTGTATGTTATCTCTAAGTTACTGTACTTACCTGGTGCTCTTTGATATCCTCCGGTGGAATGCCTTCCATTCCGTAGATTTCGATGTCGACAGAATTGCGGTTTGGCAAAGCGTTTGGCACCTTGTCTAGAGTCTCTTTGTGGACCTGAACAATGAACAGATTTGATTAGCAATTCAATTAAGAATAAGACTGGTCCTATTAAATACTGGTCGACTCGAAAGAACGCAGAGCAGCTCGGGAGGCAATCAGAAAGCACAATTTGCAGCAGAGCGTCTTGCTCATGCGATGTTAGAACAAAGGAAAAAAATGGGAATACGCATCAAATATCCTTTACGGCCTCTGCTTCGCGTCGGATAAGTGCGCTTTTACATTTGACAAAATATGGCAAGAGAAATAAACATTTGTTTTTAATTTCCGTATATATTTTGTCCATGAATGTTTTGCTTTGTCTTCTTACCTGCATGCAATGTATAGCAAGCCCCGGTCCGGTGAAAAGTTTCTTATGGCAGACATGACACTTGAAGTGCTTTGCTTTCTGGTGCTGAATAAGGATTTTCTCATCATCAAATTCCCGGTTGCAGTACCTAGGTAAATAGGAAACAACCGACATCAAACACAGAATTTTTATCTTCGGTAAATTATAGGTTGAAACACCGACATATGATAGCAGTGCGAGACATTTTTCTGTTGTACTTTTTTTTTTGTATTTGCTTAATTGTGAATAAAACTGAAAATACTGTTGTATTATCCGTGTTTTATATGAAGCATCGACTCTGTGGAGAGACAAAAGTTTTGCCGGTATGTTCAATCGCTTTGCTTACAAATGCCAGTTTTCGTATCTGATCAAAGACAGCAGAGGCCCGTTGATAAAAAAAATTCACGGTGTCTACGCTTAGCCTCTAAAAATAATTATTCCATTTCGCATATACTTATGTAAGATTACTCCATTAGATCCACATGAATGATCTCATCAATAGAACAATAACTCTATTTTCATTGTGTTTAATATCTGTCGTAAGTCAACAAAGAACCGAAGCTTCTCAGATTTGTTGCAGTTTCCTTCAACTTTATTGCCACTTGTATCCGTTGATTTAGTTTTATTTGAGGTCTGCTTTCTTAATTATGAAATGTCATTCTTTTTTCTGTCCTTCTGTAAGCTGTTCTTACGACATGCCAATTTTCTAAATTAAAAATTCGCAATGAAACCTTACGGAGATGTAATACGCTCACAAACATGCAGTTCCACCTAATTATATCACAATCTGAATAGGGTACACAATAAATACATGCACATGCTATTGCGATCGACTATTGTACAATCGAGTATACCTCAACTGGTGGAACGGAGATCGTACGTCTTTTAGCAAAACGATGCACCGGCCCGTACAAGTCGGGTGTGAGACTACGAATATATTCTGGGAGGACCACATTTGGCAGTCGAACAGCCCTGATTTGAACCCGTCTGATCAAGTGTTGCTTAAACTCCCGACATGACAGTATTAACCCACTCACTCGCATTATAAAGAGCGCTATCGCACTATGGGCAGTCAGAACCTGACTTAAAGATCGTAGTGAACGATGTTTATACTGAATCAACCATGTTCCTTAAATGCGTAAAATGTTCCTTAAATCTGTATCTAGATACAATCTTAAAACGAAGCATATAAAAAGTCCATATACACATGTCGTACCTTTATATACAGATAATCTCAAAAACCGATTCATGTAACTATTTAACCCGATTTATATAAGACAAGGATATATTGTTCACATAACATGTATATATGTACACATTGTAGCGATATAGAGTTAAGACAAGAACCTTCACCCATTACATACATATCGTATTTTTGTGTTTTCTACTATCACAGACAATGCTCGTGTCCAACACACAGTTCGATTCGAATAGTTTGTACAAGCAAGTACATTTTTATGCATGGTAGCAATGGAAATGCGTTTAAAATTTACAGGAAAGCTACGTTCATCATTTGATTTAGTCCAAATGTTTTTACGATGATATTCGTATGATTTCGATAGCTTTATTTTTCTAGGTGACCACCGAATGCCCCAACCCCAATGAGACAACTCATTAGCGAGGCGCTTGATGCTCATCCATCAAGGAGAAGAGCCCGCTTCTGTTGTAAAAGATTGTTTACGCACCGGTGATCCGGATGGCGGAAGCTTGAACGTTCCGTAACTATATTTTTGTTCAGTTCCTTGCAGAAGTTTACGCCATTTAATATATACGTAGGTATACACATTTTGCCTATACTTCAGCTTTATCAGTCTCTGATATTGACTGTCGTATTTAGTCCAAAGAAACTACATTGTGGCTGTCAGTAAACATGCGAACTAACCGATAAAAGTAACAGCATTAGACGCGAAACAAGATCATGCTAGCACAATACAGACTCGGCAATGTTTCAAGTCGGTCTTTGTCAAATACTGACCTCTTTGCACAAACCATCAACAGTCTCATTGTTGGCAAACGGTAAACCCTCTATCCTCGTTTCCGTACTTACCAACACCAGGGTTTTGACGGCTTCTTCTTCTTGCGGCCCATTACCTCGGATCTGTTCTGATAGGGCGTACGAGACGCTCACACCAACACTGAGACCTTCACCGCAAGCTTGCACTTGCTGAAAACCCACCAACACAATTGTGTCTGATACAGCTATAGCAACGATGGTAGTAATGATCACTAGTATTTTATGCTACGCCGTCGGAATGGAGGCTAGCACAGTGCCGCAGAAGCGGTAGGGTATCAGCAGCACGTAGCGCTCTCGAGCGGACGCGATATCTGCCTCGCCTTGCTTTACTACTCAAAATGCAAGCAAGCAGAAGGCGCTCAAACGAAAACCCAAGAGAGCTGGGCAACCTGGCAAGATGGCGCTTTGATGAATGCGGCCATCTTGGGTTGAGCCGTGCGCAGCCCGCCAAATTTCCAAGAAAGTCAACAGCATACTCAAATGTGGACTATTATTCATTTGAGCCCTTATAAAAAACATGAGCTACCTTTGATAAGGCAAATGTTGCTTTCTGTAAATATGAGAAACGATCTCAATCGACATCAACTAAGGTCCAAGCAATGCAAATAGTTAACTCTCGATAGAAGTAAGGTCCCACTACCGGCTCGAAAACATCGACTTGATGTCCATCAAATTTAGGGCCTCAAATGGCACCGCGTATCACTGCTTGCACATCGCGGCTTTACATATGTGCCAAAGCTACTGTTCTGTGGTGGTACAAGCCGTGAAAGAAGCCGCACATTCTACTTTGTGATTATTGGTTGAACCGTGTGATTCCACTATCCATAAGACTTCTCAGGGTTATCCTCTCCAAAGCTTGTAAGCTTGGCAGGGAAAGCTAAGATTAAGAGACGGATAATGTTACTGAATACGACTGCGCTCTTTTACACAATACATGTTGTAAAATGTAATTGATACTGATGGTAAATTAGCTGGCAGCGGTGTAATTTATGAAGAGGGAGGTGAATCTGTTTTTGTTGTTTTCTTGCTTTTCGCTTACAAGTCAATTTCGAAATCTTTATGCACAGCTTCGAAGCTACCGTCAACCTTTGGGATGCATTTACGTTTATACATAAAAAAAACTGTGCAACGAGAACTAGGGAACAGATTCCGACAGTAAAAGAAAGGTCTTTTATAAAGAACTTCATGGTTACGCGAAAGGCCTCTAACATTAAAATTAGTTTGGTGAGTTCCAGCTATCGTGTGATGGCGCCTTGTATTTAACCCTGGCGCTCTCCTATAGTGGTCAAAGGACCAAATGCACAGTGTTTGAATCCATACAAAATACACAATAACAAAAGTGCACCAGTAATTTCACTACTGGAGAGAATCTTAATTAAATTTTTCTCGACTGATCCCAGAGGATACTTGAAAAAGTGAAATTTGGTTGCCAACATATGAGCAGCCATGCTTGTACTTCCGCGAATAGCAGTACAATGCCCTCGGACATTCTCAAGATCCATTCTACAACGAATGGCCCGTAGCCTTTATAGGGACGCTGGCAGCGCTAGAAATCGAAAGGACCCAGGTTTTGTTTGTGAAAGTGAAAAAGATTCTAAGCGATCCTCCTTTGTGGAGAAGATCAACCGACAGAAAGGTGACTATCTGGGAAGACTTCGCGCTGAGATCGATAAGTATAGCGGCAAACGGAAAAAGCAGCTTGCACCGCCCGAAACAGACATTCTGATCGTCGGTGGAGGCATTATTGGATCGAGCATCGCATATTGGATAAAAAAACGAGCACCAGCTACATATCATGTCACCGTAGTAGAAAAAGACCCGACGTATCAACGGTGCGCGACTACCCGAAGCGCTGGCGGAGTTCGGCAGCAGTTCTCGTTTAAAGAGAATTGCCAAATGGCAATGTTCGGAGCGGAATTTCTGCGCGATTATAGGCATTACCTCGGCGAGGACGCACCTGATCCCCAGTTCAACCCAGAGGGTTATCTGTTTATCGCAGATACTGATGAGAGAGCTATGCAGATGGAGCAGAATGCCAGGACGCAACGAGAGTGCGGGGCGCGTATCGAATTGATGTCGCAGGAAACATTGAAGAAACGGTTTCCATTTATTAATAATGAAGACGTAAAGCTGGCATCGTATGGCCTACAGAACGAGGGCTGGTTTAATCCGTATGCACTGTTACAAGGACTCAAGCAGTACAACCTTCGGCATCAGGTACGATCTACTTCACATAATGTAACTATTTGCACATTTGTCTATCACGCTGCACATTTCAATGAACCAGTTGGCATTTGGTCATTCTTAGAAATTTTGAATTAGCGTAAACTATGAAATATTGGTACTAAGTTGACCATTGTTTCAGAAATGTTTTCAGCAACCGTATTTTATTCGCGGGTGTTACGTACAAAATATATAAGTCTAAACTAACTTAAGCTAATCCTTTTTCAATCCAGACGGCAGTAATGTCCGATGATGATTATTATCTCTAGCCGACGCCTACACTGATTTTTAACGTAGCCTTATATACTAAGATCCTTCTTTATGAAATTATGGCTTGATTTTACATATTTCTGTTTATTTTATCCAGCGTAAAATAAATAGTCTAGTTTTATGATATATTTTTGAAATGCTTGGCAATAGATGCAAAGTTCAGTATTATGATAAGGTACTATCATTGTTTCTTATTCGCACTAAATTTTATATCTAACACGTTTAGAATTGCTTTGATATACAATAATTGTTGCAAGGAAATTATCATTTAATTATGAAACATTAAATTAGTCAACAAACAGAAAAAAAAAATTAGTTTGTCACTATTTTCTATGACTTTTATTTTCAGACGGGTTACATCAATGCCGAAGTTGTTGACTTCCGTTTTCGTACGATACATGACTGCGTGGGACCTGAAGTGTATGAGCCCACAAACCATGTAATCCTTAAGGATTCGAACGGTGAACTTCACGAGGTACCAATTAAACAGCAAGATTATCTAACTGGAGTAATAGAACATATCTACAGCCACTAACGAAATCCCGAACAGGGGTATTCCTCCTCTCAAAAAAGGACTTGTCTGTTTGACAAAGATGTCGGATTAGAAAGGACCGTAGGATGCATAAAAGCTTAACTTTGCGCAGTTTTTAGTAATGCTATCTTCTGACACATGGAAATGAACTGACATCCATTTTTCTGTAACTCCCAAAATGATAAAGCTGTTAAACGTATTGATAGCGTTTCCTTAATGTTTACTGTAACCTATTCGCTTTCTCTTTTTTCAGATGATATTTAGTATTATAATATTAGCCGGAGGATCCCAAACGGCAGAACTTTGTCGCTTGCTTCGTATTGGTACAGGAACAGGTATCAGAGGGGTACCCATTCCCATTGAACCCCGCAAAGGAGCCATATATACTTTCCATGCGCCGGAAGCGCCTATCGTCGGCTTTCCATTCCTTGTCGACCCGACTAGTACGCATCAAAAAGTCACTTCTTTTTTATATTAAATAAATTGTTTTTCTTTTTATTTATCATTCAACTTAATTGATTAAAAAACCGACCTAAGCACGCAAATTTGATATATTGGACGCATGCCCGATCGGGGGTTGTTTTGATTGTTTGGCAAGGCTTTTAGCTCTAACTGATGTTGTGATTCCTATAGGAACGTACTGTCGGCGAGAAGGTTTGGGTGGATATTTTATCTGCGGGCGAAGCCCTGACCGCGAACACAACGGGCAGTGCGACGGCGATCTGGATAACGCCGATGAGGGCTACTTTAAGGAGGTACGGGAAAGCGAAAACTTTTTAGGTCTTTATTGGCATAGTGAACTCAACGGCACCTATCTGCAAGGGACATTTCCACCGGACATGCAGTGGAATAACTCTTACATATCACCTTCACACAGCTTATGTCAATGAATAAATAATATATTTTGGCGGTTGTTTATATGCAAAAATTAATTTGACGCGAATAGGCATTAGCAATTATAGTTGCATATATACTTAGTTCGATGATAATTAAAAGACATATAAGTTACGTAGAAACGCGAGATTTAACTTACCACAACGTTCACTTTCAAATGGAAACAGTGACTATTGTGTACTGTACACTATGAAACTTTTCAACATCACATGACGCTGGTTAGCAGTTTTCACCACTTTCATTTCGTTTTTTTCAGGTATTGTGGCCTACGCTGACTAATAGGGTTCCGGCGTTTAGCAACATTAAGCCCAGTCGTTCGTGGTGTGGCTTCTATGATTACAACTATCTTGACGCAAACGCCATTATTGGCTGGCACCCGTACTACCACCATGTTATTATCTGCTCGGGATTCTCTGACTACGGACTGCAGATGGCGCCGGCAGCAGGACGGGCTGTTATGGAGATGATCATTGAAAGCGAGTTTACCTCGATTGATTTGAGAAGACTCTCTTTCGAGCGTGTCATGCGCTGCGAAGGGTTACGAGAATAAGAAATAGTGTAGGTCATCAGAAAATCTTACGGGAAAAACCTAATCTAATTAAATGCATCCAATCCAAAATGACTGCCTTTAAATATATCTATTTGGTACGTTCTCAGTACGGAAACGATTTTTACAAACTTATTATTATTATCAAGTTCTTGTTGTTAATATTATCACTATAATTACGGCGGGAAAATATAAAATGCAAGAAAAATATGATAGAAAAAAAGTGCATAAAAAGCAGCGTAGACGAAACATTGAGACAGGTATGTATATATTTCGATAGTAGTTTCTGTCAGGCGAAAGGCTAATGAAATTAGTGGTATTCGCTAGTTTGGAATTCACTTTCGACCACGAGATTCTCATGACACCTAAGGAATCAGTGAGAATGGAAAAGATGGCGATAAGAACTGTGGCGTGAATCTTCTTGTGATAGCAATATCTGCTCACAAAAGCTGGTTTATTTTAACCAGTTTGGAGTTATTATTGCTTGTACATCTTTAGAAGCCGAATGTGTAGATATTTTTTAGGTCTAGACCAATTTTAGGGGGAACAAATGATAGCATGAATTTACACAAAGTTAGGTCACAAACTCTTCGACGGTGGAATAATTAAGCGAATATTCTATTTATTGAGTGTTAACAGGTTCATTAAAATTGCGTGAATGCATAAAATCGACGTATTTTTATTTGCTGTTTACTTTCCAAATTTTGAGTTCGCTCATGTATGTATGAACACAAATTTTGATGACGAAAATTGCATCCAAGATTAAAAATCGAAGGGTAGTTACGAGTATAAGACCAAAGTAGGAAAAGCTTTTGATAGAAAAATAAAGGAGAGCTTTTTTCCATACAGAACAGCTAGTTCTCAGCAGAGGAAAAATCGGCAAAGAGATGTACGAAAGAAAAACAACAAAAAATTATATACATAATATATAGAATTGAGCCTCCTACCTAGTAAAGACTAGAAAAAACGGGTGACTTCGATGAAATATTTTCTATAAATATATATAGAAAGCTAATAGATCTGGATCCTGGGGATAAGCTGAAAAGAGACAACTTTTTATTTCCTTAGCTGGTTTTGAATCAGTCCTCGTTTAAATATCTATGTCATTTATGAACAGTACGATTGGGAATAATGATAAAGACACTAGAATTAGGAACAGTTACATTTAAATAAAAATTTCTGCTAAATACTTAAAGCTCAATAAAATAATAGTTTTGTAAATAGTAGTTTTTTTTTTTTTTTTTTTTAAATAATCTTTACATATGACAGAGGTAATTGATTGTGTGGTATATTATTTATGAGGTTCTCTATTCTTATGGGATACGTAGGTACTTAAGTCAATGCTAGATGTTTGGAACAGTTTTGAGCCCAGACCATTTTTAGATCAGAGTTGTCCACGAGGAAAAAAAAAGACATTAGTACGGGGTCCGGGACGCGACCGATGTCTTACACAAGCGGCAAAAGCATTCCCCGAATATTGTCGAACTGTTGAAATGCATACAGTTATGCTTGTGTGTCACATAGCCATCTGGTATTTAGGTTTGATTAATTTCAGCTATTCAGTTTGGCCGGTATTAATGAAGGAAACTGACTCTGTCGTCCTCTAATAAAGACACCTGGATCATTTATAAGGTAAGAATAACTTTATTTGACTAAAAAACCGCTTTTTTTTGTTATTTGTTTCTAATTATCGTTAACATTACCTGCTGTCAATGTGTAACAATAATGCAGCAGGTGTTGCAAAGTGTCTTCTTTTGTTTTCACAACAGCATAGTTAAAGGCGCATTTCTCTGTAGTTAATATATATATATACAAGGGTCAATTATCTCGCTTACCCATTGTGAAATTTGTTTGTATCTGATTCGCCATTCTACCTAACACTCAACTCAACAAAGGCAAACAGCAAAAAAATATTATTTCCTTTATAAATAGAGAAATAACATATTCGAAATGCAACGTTATTCCATCCTTTGTGTTCTGTAATGGTGTATTACTTTGAGCTAGTCACAAATGTCTTTTTTTTTTTATTCGGTATGTAGCTAAGTGCCCGTTTTTCTAAAGATGGCTTCCTGTCCTTATAAACCCTGTAATGATGAATTAATTTTCAAATTTCACAGCTGCGTATGGCTAGCGCAACTAATGATAGTTGACAACTACCACACTGAAGGTCTACCACGATTTAAGGTTTTTATACGGAAGTTCAGTTTCCAGTAAGCTCGTTTGCATCTCTTTCGTGGGATATAATAGTAGTGCTTCGTCTTGTTGGCCTCTTTGCTAAATGGAACGTCGAACTAGATAGCGTCGTGGCAACGCAAAAATGTCAATACCCATATTCACATAGTGACATAGATAAAAAAAAATGACAATACCCATATTCGAATAGCACCCGTGAAATTTAGGTTAATGCTGTTTCTTCATCATATGTACTGCCAACTCTGATCGGTATTAAAATACTCTTCCTATTCTTACAGCCAAAAGGGACAATGGCACAAAAACAAATACGCCGCCGACTGGCAACAGAGGAGTTCTTCCCGAAACAGAGCCACTATTCGCAGAGGCTCCAGGTAATCGGGCTAGAATTTTTGGTTTTTTTTTCGGTGCTTCATACTCTGAAATATCGGAGGAGAAATGAAGTACGGAATTTACAATACTAGCCATAAAAGTACTAACCTTGCTGTGCCCTACCATACGTTTCTCGTGTTTTACGTCTGCTATATGAGCCGTTAAATGTTATTCTAGAACGGTCTATGAAACATATCAACGCTGCTAGCATACTTTGATTACTCACAGATCCTTCAGAGTTACATCTATTTCTAAAAAAAATCTCTGCATAAAAAGTATTGCCCGTGGTAATCTTATATGGATGGATGAGATTCGATATTAGACGAAGACACGCGCTAAGGAGATGCTTGTTTTCTTCCTACAAAAATATAGTGAATGCTAATTCTTATAAATCCATTAATTTTATAACTATAGTACGAAAAAAAAGAACGCACTTGATCTTTTCCTTGGAAAATTAAACATAAGTTTGTTAAACCACAGTTTCATTCAAAAACACGTGTGTCGACTCAGAATAGCACGGAGAAAGTTACGACGACTAAAGTGGACTTGCTGCGATGAAGAACAGGTGAAGTAACGCTTGATACTCACTAGGCGTGTAAACTTGTCGTTGAAACCGTTGGTATTTGACCTCTCTGAAGTGCATGTCGCACTCAAAAGTTAACGGTTGTCTCTGGAATAGCGTCTGATTAGTAGACTGCATTAGGAGTGAGACCTGAAAATACCAAGTATCATATATATAATTGCAGGGTAGGACCGGCCATTAGAACACAGATAAAGTTTGTCCCTTAAAATTAGTGCGGCGTTGCGTATCAGTGATACCTAATGCTCAAAAAGCTCATGCTTCCTATCCTCAATTGTAGAAAAACATTGAAATCTTATCATGATTACTATAATTTCAATTATTCTCACACACATACAACATGCAACTGCGGAAAATAGTGGCAATTTTTTGCATACTCCATAGGTATTCAAAATGTTTTAAAAAATGCTATTTCACACTGAGAAAAATGTAGAAAGTTTACATAGTGATTAAGACATTACAATAAAGAGATTAGCTCTTTTTGGTATGACAAATTAACGTCGTATATAGTTACCATATCTATGAGCTGCTACTGATTATGGGCGCATCGCTGAAGGTCGACTAGACTAACTTCGGTCTTATTGAATCATTGTTGTTCCATTGTGGATATCTTTTAACATCAACAGCCGCTAACCCATCGAGACTGCCAACTTATTCAACCTATAATTGTCATTCAATTATACCGTCCATGTAAGTTATACTCGCGCTTACGTAATGTGTTGCCTCACCTGGTGAACCTTCCCATTGAGCTCTATTGACTCAATATGCGCATCCTCAAACTGTTGTTTTGCTTCTTTATCTGTTTTAAGGACGCGATACAATTTCAGTTCAGGTATCGGGTACACTGGTGATACGGTACAATTAACCTATTAGGTGAACGCTATGTTAGTTACTTCTAACAGCGGATACACTTTACACCCGACTATTTTTTTTTTATAATCTAGTACATTCGGTTACAATTTCCCAAAGTTATCATAATAATCACTATAAGGGAATAATTAATCGGTAAGGAATGACTGTGTTTGATTGTTAGTGTAACTTTAAAGCGCATCTCGGCGCTTTCCTAGTTCCTAGTTCCCAGTTACTGATCCCCTAGTTACGTTTTAATGAGCTGAGTGAAAGCATAAGGTGTAATAATAATACTATGTGTACTCTGACTATGTATACAAGAACTATTTATATTGCCAATAAGGTTAAAAACCTGATCCTTTTTCGGCTCACTTAGAAAATATTGTGGCGTAAGTTTAAAGCATTTCGATCTGTTTGGTGTATTTTTATGGTGCAGGCGATATGGTATGGATAGAAGCCTAGCAATATCTTGGCATAAAAAGAAATTACATTAAGGCTAATGCGGTGCGTATTACTCTGAATCTTATACCTGAAGGACACCGGCAGACGGTTCGTCAATCACCAACGTGAAATTGCGTGGGGGTGCTGAAATGCCAATTGGGTCTTTGTAACACTAGTCCACTAGGTTTATAATCTAGTCTTGCGTTGTCTATTGATGCAGGTTCTAGGTTGACCTGTTGAGTTGGATTTCGAATAGCAGAAAAGCTGCACGTAAAACACAATAATTTTGATTCAGAACGTCCTTTAAACGGTACAAAACATACGTGACTCAATGAATTGAAAGAAAACCACGTTTTCTTTCTAAATAACTCTTTGGCTTCTGGTATTAAATGAACGGTGGACGGTGCAAACAGTCACTTGGGTATATTGTCAACTTACAAAATACGACCATATTTGCCTCGGCGCTATCCTGTGAGTCGAAAGTCTGCACTTCACAGCGGTAAAGACCACTCATCGCGACCTCAGGATCTGTTAAGGCCAGCTTGTATGAAACCTGCGAATAGTAGTCATTAAAATTACTATTACATTGTAAACATATATATTTACTTAATTATACGAAAATAACTTTTATATATGTTAAGAATCGAGGTTAAAGCCGGCTAACACTCGGGTAAGGCGTAAGTCTACTTCACATGGGGTATTGACTTAGGAAACATTGGGTTAACATTTGGAAGGATTTTATTGTCCCTCGCTATAAAACTACTTTTTTAAGAGTTTGCTTATGTCGCACCTAAATATTGCTCTATCTATACCGCCTGTCCTAGCCTGCCCTTTATCTGTACATCCCTGATAGTTTCCTGATACATTTGTACAGGCAAGCAAATCAAAGAAGATCTATTTTATCCAAAGAGTGCTGCGCATATAGAACAAATATCGGAAGCTGAGTTTCGTATTTCTACACACAGGACACACGAAACTGATATTATCATCCGACCTATATTACCAGACCCCAAACTCATAGAGGGATAGATTTGTTGCTAATACACTTGATGCATGAGTGTTGATACTATTCAGTGTAAACGTATGTGTATACGTTGTACGGTGTCACGAATAGCTAGCCTCCAGCCCAGCTACAGGAATAATTAGATGCCCCGCGTGCCAATTAGATACGACACATGCGTAAACGGAAGAAGACATAAATGTTACTATTTCTCTGCCGTGTCAAGATAATTAACGCATGACGCGCGTGCAAATTATTGTCATATACAGCCCACCTGGTGCTGCTCGAAGGCCCCACTGTTCTCAACGTAGCTGTTCGTGCTGGAGGGAACGCACGCTAACGTCTGGATAAAATTTATTACGGACACGTACTATTTCTGTTTTTTTAGATATATGGTAGTAAAGCAGCGTTCATATAACACCTAGTAGTATTTATCGATTGTTATATCTAAACCATTTTGTACTTCTATAGTATATCATTTGGGTCGTTCTCTTAAAGGGAACTGAATTACAAAGTGAGCTCCCATAGTGTATTACAACTCGTTTGGATGTTATTTTTTAATAAATATTTCATTACGCTGTTATAACTGGTAACGGAAAACTGTTGTAAGCTTTTTCATATTTAATGATTTTTTCTGAAATGTAAAAATATTTAATTTAGTTCAACTTCTATTATAACTTCAAAACAAATACATTTTTTTTTAGTCTATTTTTTAGTTTTCTTTGAATACTTTATCTACTTCGAAGATTGTATTTATAATGTGGCCGAGTAATTTTTCAAAACGTCGTTTATATGCCATTAAAAAGGTACTTCGGCGGGGATAACGATCGATACTGCCTTCAGAGATTGAATTTTGGGTCGAAGATTCTGCCTTGCCTTTTTACCTTGTTATTGCAAGTATCGGCATGCTGGTCTTCTTCGAAGGAGAACTTCGATTCATACGGCCCAGTAATAACTGGTTCTGGAAACAAAAGCGACTCATCTGTTGAAACTAGTTCTATCCTGTAACGTCATGATCTTTCAGAGACTGTACTCCATATTTTATTATTGTATTTCCACGAATGTCATATATTTACATCATCAGAGATATATTAGTGCTATTATGGATAGGCTAAGAGTTGGGTTTATCCCTGTAATGACGCAGTAACAGTGTATTTGCCTATTAAATTTTAGGCATACATGGGGCAAAAACGTAAATATACCACGTTTCGCACCAGAGGCCAGCCGTCTGAAATAATACTTAGCGGCAATAGTATTAGATGCGGAATTCTATACATTTTATATAAAGGTTTGGTCTCGCTGTTTATTTCGGCAAAATCAGTGAACATAGGTTTGTGAAATACAAAAAATGCCCAGTTTTAGGTAATACGCTAAACAATATGTGCGGTTCCATGTCATGCAGAATTAAATTCTAAGTATAGCGCTCTTGGTATTCCAGTAGGTTCATAACGATCTTTTAATACCACATTACCTATTAAGGTTTTCAATATAAACATAAACAGATTAGAGAAACAACATAGCTTCATACATCATATCCTACTTTACTAGAAATTTATTCTCCATACATCCTGCAACGCCACTCAAAGTTGAGTATGAGCTTTTTGCTTATTACACTGTACTTACCTCCATAGCTTGCTATCCATTGATAGAATGGTGTAGTATCATTATTGAAGAACCATTTCACGACAAGGTTGTCGTCGCCTTCACCACAGCGGTAGGAGCATTCCAAATCGAATGGGCCCTTCTTTCCGTCCTCAACTAATTTTGGCACTATCAATCTTACGATATCGATAGAAAACACTGTTTCGAGAGAAAAAGCACAACAAACAGGACCAGAGAAACATCGAAAACGCAAAAAGACGATAACGAAAGATACAATCAAATCACTTAAATGCGTATAAATATTTCTAGTTGTTCGATCAATCTGCTTTATATATATATATATATATATATATATATATATATATGTCAACTTCGTGCAGGAGGATGCTGACGTTGGATTGCTTGAAGATATCGGTTTTTTGATTCGAATCCTGCAACATCCATAGTAGTACCGAAACAGTTGTCTCTAAACACATCAATAAACTCTTTCTAGTAACCAACAACAAGGTTTCGTATGATAACGGGCATTGTTTAAGTTTTTCTGGTAGTTTACGACGAATGGTCTATATGTATACAAGTTATCTTTTACTTTACGGTTTATTTTCAGCAGATATTCTTCGTACGTTATATCACCTCGAGTCTGAGTCCCGAGCTATCTCTACGGTGGCCATCGAAGAGAGAGCTAACGACATAATTCGGACACATAAAAAAAACAGGCTTACATTGTTGAAAGCTAGTTCTGGTGTGAAAGTACTTTACGCTCCCTCTTTTTCTGTTGGCTATTGGATATCCGATCTGTGACTTCTGCTGAAGTTTTTTTCAGCAGGTTTACGACACAATATGGAAATTATACACCAAGGCCAAAAATTTCAAGCAGTGATGGTCGCATGCTCATGGTTGCTATGACAACGCACTCGCTTACCTATCAATTCGATGCGCTTAGCCAACCATATCGCGGTGTTCCACAAACACTTATACATGCGAAACTAGTTTTATTGAATTAAAATTTAGTAATTTGCAACTATTACCTTAAAAAGTATGGTACAAAATTAAATTATGTTCAAAAAGTAGGCAATCGAAAATAAGTAGTGCCCTATAAAAGGGAAGGTGCTTTATAAAATAGTTTTTTTTAACCAAACCATAGATGGATGTAGGGCGTATTGTTCATCAATTCGTGAAAAGTTTATGCCAGATTTCGAATAATTGGGAGTAACGGCTTTGTATAATATACATTGCAAACATATTAGACAATGAAGTGTTTTTGAGGATAAGATGCCTGCGATAGCGCGGTGCTTTTACTAACTAAAACAGCCGCGAGTCAATCTTACTGTAACCAAAGCCCATATTTCTAGCTGTGCCTCTCAAGATTAACGACATATTAGAAGCCGGAAGACTGCGACGACAGAACCTTCTTTCCGTTCCCGGTTGCTGTGTAGTGCTAATGTTTAATGCCATTTCGGGTGCCTCCTCAGCCCCGATATCGTTGAGCTGGTCCGAGCTGTGGCAGTTACAACAAACACTAAATATGGTAAGCAGCAAAGAAAAGATCCTATCAGTACTCATTATTGAATACATAGCACTAGCCAAGTGGTATATAGGTAACAAGCGTCCTAAGTAAAAATTCTAAAAAAATACCAAAAAGTGATTCCAAAGGCATTCTAAAGACTAAATCGTACGGGAACGCGAAAACAAAATGTAAGTGCCCAGCCAGTTTTCCACAGACTCCCAAGTTCGAGTAAACTGTTAGACGCACCTTGCTGCTACGCTGTTCCTCAAGTCAGTATTCAATAAAAATCAGCTGACCAGAGATTACATCCTATGCCTAGTCCTTTTATAAAGCATTCAAAATAAAAATACCTTAAAGCCAAATGCTTTCAATAGCACACGTAGTTGGTTTTGTATTTATGTGAAATTCCTGATAAGGTGTTTATCTATACTAATAGCAATATTTGAACATATTATCGATTGGCTTGTAACCTAGATCTGGAAATTATTTTCGAAGGCTTAAAATTAACATGTACCTCTTTTTCTAACTAAATAGGCCAGTTATTTTTTTTAGATAGGCGGTTAACTGCAAAGCATATCGTTTGTTGTTACAGATCGAATATAAGAATTGACGACGAGCGTTCGGCATATTGTAAAATTCCGCAGCATTTAAATGGCACAGAGGGGTTCTCGTCATTGTAGCGTTTGTGCTACTTTTTCTCAGCTGATTGACCTAGCACGGCGTCACGTCCTCGAACACTTAGAATCCTGGAACCCAACTGAATATGCAGGTCGAACTCTTGACCGAAGGTTTCTCTTTACAGAAAAAAGGACACGTTGGAACAATACAAGTAAAATCGAAGATAGGCTTGCTACTCAGTTTAACTGTCGCATCCACAGGTCTTATTATATATTGTGGCTTCTTCCATGTTTGAAGTTTGTTTTTGCAACTGCTTCTGGGATTGAATCATTACCGGATCGAGTGGCTTTCCTGAAGTACGATCTACTTTGCCCCACGCCACTTGGACCTACGCAGATGCCCCATCAGTGTTGAAAGTAAATTTCTTAAACTTTTGATAGTTATTGCCGCCGCTCCTTCTCTAGCGTTTATTTTTAGTATAGTTCGCCGCATTTGATCCACTCTTAGCCTGGTCTAGCCCAACCTAATCTACTTAATCGCGGCTGTTGAGTGGTCTTCCCGCCTTTTTACTAAGGGCAGTCAGATTGCTAATTCTCCAAATAACCAATAAAATATATGACAAACAAAGCTACCTGTAGTTTTTGTAACATTTTAGCCAGTTTCTCTAAAGACTTTTTGGCTGTCTTGTCGTAACGCTGGCGAATTTTTTTGCCATTTTCTGAAAACAGGACGCTGGTGAATATGGGTGCTAGAAAAGCCACACATAAGTTTTAATTATTAAAGTACAAAGCGTCAACTGCTTATGGCCCTCTTATATACATTTGGGGCAGTTGATCGTATCCTGCGTGATTTGAAATCATCGCAATCAGTGGGGCGAAGTTCGTCCTAATGGTTGTTTAGAGTAGCCATATCGCAGAAAAGTGCTGTCGTTTAAGCTCAGTATATTTGATGAAATCTTTTCAGTACATACGGATGTAAACACCAACTAGTACGATCGTCGATTTGTGTTAAGACTACATATTTGTAGAATCCGAAGATTCAGTTAACCCATTAAGGAGTCTACGGATCATAAACTTAAGTGAAACTTCATCGACTATACTGTAGCTTCTCAATGACACCACAAGGGCCACAAAGCCGACCTGTTTGTTCGATGCATTACACGAGCTTATTTTCAAAAAAAAAACTTCATCTTTATATCTTTCAGCAGCTCAGACAGAGATTCCACAAAGACACAAAGTACGACTTCTCTTAAGCCCAGTGCGATGCACTGCCTGTGAGGTTACTATTAATGATATCAGCGATAGTGGACCAGTACAGGCGTTCTGCAGCTTTAGGTAAGCCACCATAGGGTTCCCCCAGTGTTCACTTGCCCCATCCACAAAACAGTTCATAACTAAGAGGATGAACCCTTGATTCGGCAGAGCCCTGTTAATCGCGAGCTGTTGCAGTACTTTTACGGACGAAACGCATCATACAGAAAGATATGGCTGTAATCACATCGGACCCATTGTCTTCTGACTTACTTCAGTTCATGAACGGTAAACAGTAGACGCAGTCAGAATAGATCCGCAAAGTTGGTCGGCGTGCAGTCATTTCGACAATTGAGAGAATGTACACCATCAGTCGCCATTGAAGACACCTACCAGAATGTACACAAGGACACGCAACAAGAAGCAAGTGGACTGGGTAGATACTTTTGCAGACAACTCGTTCGGAGTTAGCAGATAGCCACTTTTAAAGAAGAGGCGTCTGAATCGGGACTTTTAAATGGGCATAGGTATATGGCATTATTTTGTTTGATATCTGTTGGTGAAAAAATCGAACAGCTAGTGGATTAAGGAACCTTAATATTTTGTTATGAACTGCGCCTTTCACCAATAGATTAATACTAAAATTGGATTATGTTCTTTCATTATTGACGGAGAGTTGGAGAATCATCAACGCGTCGGCGTGTGCAGTACTGAGCACTATAACTACGGATCGTTAGATTTCTAGCAGGAGTTTCACGCTTCTGAGCTTTGCTAAGAGTCTTACAGAGGTAAAGATGCCTATGATCTGAAGGATATTAGGTTACTTGGCCTAGAAGTGATGCTTCGACTGTAACCAAACTGCAAATTCAGACAAAAAAGGTATTCACTTTTGTTCAACCTAGGTTTTTGTGCACCATCAACTACCTAGGTAATCTGTCAATAGTCTCTGATTTTTGGTCTGTAGCTTTTACCTAGGTTTCACTGGGAATTTCTTGGCTTTTAGACGTTCAGGCGAAGGAAACATACATTAACCAGTCTCATTGTAATCAACTCGCTCTAGATAAGTAGCTGGCTATCTAATGCACGATGCCATACATTATGTTGTTTCGGATCCACTTCGAATTTGCTTCACACGTTCTCCAGTCGCATCGGGTCGCCTACCCATCTACATCTCCATCTGCACTGTAGATTCGCACTGGAGCTGAATCAGCTGAATTTAACAACTGATTATTCTCATCCGAACCACCAAACCTGTCTCTCTATTTGGTTATCTTCCTTAAATTCTCTCTCTCTCTGTCTCTCTCTCTCTATATATATATATATATATACATATATCTCTCTGGGGGGTATCCCCCATGATCTTATGCAATTGATATGACGCAATTTTTATGTCTTTGCCCGTTGACTTTCAATTGTTCGCCTCTAGTTAGTTATTATTTAGAGAGACTCATTATCTCAGTAACATGTAGTCTATCACCCTGCTGATCTTGTTTATCTCACGCGTTTAATTGATTGCTTTACTAAAATGGGAATCTTGTTTTCGATAGATGAGATCTTCGACAGCTGCGACTTCTTCGACGGCCGCCTGGCGCCTTGACTGTGTTCTCACTGATTTGTCAGTGTTTCGCGTGGGCAATTCATTGGTGATATGCCGCAGTCTCCGCTGCGTTCCTGTTTTTTAACTATTTGCGGTTCACAGTTTGATTATTTTGGCTTCGACTGCATCGAACGAGGGAGAGGAACAACAAGAGGAAAGAATCGGCAATTGAATCAATTGATTCGTTTCATCTGCTCCCCTCATATCTTCTCTCTAAAGCAAAAAAAGGAAAGACAGCAGGGCCTGCGAGTTTCCATAGATCCCTGTGCTGATGTCGTTCCTACGTCTCGACGTTTTTGGTTACGTCACGTTAACGTTTCGAGTGATGGAACGGCGTCAACATTGACGACGACGACGAGAATGACAGGGGCAAAAAAAGAATATATTGAATTTTACGTTTCTCAACGGAGCGCGTTACACCGGCTGTCTGCTTCCTGAAAGCCAGAGGACAGTGCGACAGTTTAGAGCATAGTCAATAGAAGTGTTACCGGGGAGCGTCCGCCACATCACACAGAGAGTGAGAGCAACAGCATTCATTGGACACGGATGTCACTCCTCTGACAAACTGAAGCTCGCTGTAAGAGAAACACTCAAACGGGAATCTTCCTTTTCTGTCGTCGTTCTCGTTACTGTCAAAAAGTCGGAGACGGGGCACGGTTAAAACGGACGCCTGCCAGCGAGTACGACCATGTAGCCGTGAAACGATATCGCTGCCATACAATGCACAATTGCACGGACAATCGCATCAATCTTGCCCACTTGCTTACCAACGGTTGACGCTTCTTTCCTCTGGTAGTAGTATGCTGAAAATGAACTACGAAACTCTCATAATAGACGTTTACTTGGACATTATTGTAGATAATTTTTATTTAAGAACCCTATAGCATTTGGTGGTTAGTTATAGGTGACACATCAAGACAAACTTTGGGACGCCAGCTAGCTTCGTTGTGAGATGCCCAGAGGAAATATAAAAGATGCAATGATGTTCAGATTGCTATTTTGTAATCAGACATATCCATTATTACTTCTTATGCTTCTCACTATCGTTCTATTTTCTATTTCTGACGAAAGAGTACTTGCCGCTATAAGCCAAAACGGAAGCAAACATTGCTTGTACTTTAAGACAATATTACCAAATTCAGTTATGGACCATTTTGATCGATAACCTTCTGTTATTATTGGCCAATACCATAATCCCATCAATGTAGAACGTCTATGGGTCCTGGAGAAACGCTGTTTTTTAGAGAAACTAGAGTTATTTTTGTATCTCTCTTTGAAAACTTAATTCAATAAACATTTTTAAGGGAATTTTGCAGAGACCAAAACAGGTAATAGTCTGATGGCGCGAGGTCCGGACTATACTGCGAATGCATTAAACATATCCATCGAGATTTTCTTATATTTTTGTCGGGTAGCTACAGATGTCCGTGAACTGATATTATGATAGTGGAACATGGCGTGTCTTTTTTGTCCGCTAGTTCCAATCGATTTTTCCAATGTCTTGTTGTCATTTTATCAGTTGTTGAAGGTACCGGTCAGAATCAGTTTTCTACCAGACGGCACTAACTCAAAATGCACGATTGTGTTCCAATTTCACTAAACACCTAGTACCATTTCTTTGGCGTCAGCCTAGGCTTCGTCAGATACTGCGTGTACGTTTTTATCACTGATGATCAGCCGTTCTAGACGTGAATAGCAGTTTTGTCAATGAAATCACGGTCGGCAATGTTATTTTCCGTCAATTTATATGGCATCGACCATTATTTCCCTAGCGATATAGGAGCTATCCCAGTGTCTATTTGACTCAACGCTTGCAATACTCGGGGCAACTCTTTCCGTAATCGGTCGAGCACTACAAGAAGCATAATTAAGCATAAGTCGGAATTCGCCGAACGAAGGCAATAAAATCACTATTTTGGTAGTCTGTTTCTTGTATGATTAGAAAAACGGTGAAAACTTTTCTCGACAATCCGGTGTACCCAACTATACAAAAAAAAAAGCTACACTCGGCCTAGGAAATATAATAAAGTCCTGAAATGGCATTACAACAGATAGCCGTCAAGGAATAGGCGCGGACGAAAACGTGCACTAGCTAACGGGCACAGTTAAGACTTCGTTGGAGACATCGTACTAGAAACGTAGATGTAAACGCGAGCACGCAGTGTGTACGATACGACAACACATTAACACATAGGTATTTTGGAGAAGAGAGGTCTCTTCTTGCGCAGTATATTTATAAGTACTTGCACGTCTGCCTATTCACAATACGTTGTGAAACAAAAATGAAACCTATTCAAGCGTAGCGTTTGGTTTCTTCTATTTTGTCTCGCCAGTATTGTTTTGTTTTATTTTGTTATCGAACTTGGCATCTTGTCTTTAAGGTATCGCTAGCGCCGCTGCCGACAACAACAGCGACAATAGCGGCGGCGGCAACAACCCTGAGTATGCCAAACGCCCGTGCGGCCCGAACTGCGTCATTCAGAAATCCTCAACAACGCACCTATTCGACATATAATACAGTTACAGTGACGCCAATGCTTATTTGTCTGTTCTCAACAGAATCAGCAAAGTCATTGTTGCTTAAACGAGAGAAAAAGGACCTAGGTGTGGGTAGAAGGCTGAGCGTTCTCCCCATAGATAGGATGTATCGATCCAATTAATCTTTCTGGTTTTCCCAGAAATCGCTTATTCATTCGTTTCTTGAAGTTTCAGATCAAACATTATTCATTATTCATGTAAGTGCCACTTCTGCTGCTACCGGCAACACTGGGCCCACGAAGCAAGAATAGCGGTGAAGCAAAGCCTGAGCGGCCCAGTTTCGAGCGAAAACGAAAAACGCTGAGAATCCTGACGACGGCGATCAGAAGGCATTGACCCACAGTTCGACTAACTTCTGCTTATGGGTATCTCCGGTGCTGCCATATCGTCATTATAAGTCCGTCATCGTTCGGCGGGAAGTGGTGAGATCGCTGGCAAGCAAATATTAGACAAGGGAACAAGCAACAGCTAGATGACGGGTGCCATCGTTTCCCTCTTTCTGATCTTCTACCGGTGAACTAACAGACGACTCTGTTATGAGGCAACTTCTGGTGAAATCGAACTTCTCAAGCGGTAAAAGGATTCCCTTGAGCGTCGTCACGTCGGATTCCCCTTAGTCGACGATGACTGTAACGTTGTGTGCCACAGAAAACACATACAGGAGGGGCCTGACATCCTATGGAAACGTGCCTGTATAGAATGTTCTAATATGCATAAACAAACACCAGTTGTAAGTTCGCCTAGCGATGCGTAGTATAAACGACATTTACTAATCGTTATAATAACAGCCTTTAGATGTTGGTGAGAGCTGGAAGAGAGATAATTGGCACCTATTAATCAAGTCTTTAGAAATAATTTTACAACAGCATGCTCAGCAGTTGGCCTAAGAGAAGATTAATATCAAGCAGGCCCAACTCGGTATTAATTTTAAATACTAATGCTTAACACAAGCGGTAGCTCAGCACCTGCATGCGACCTGATTTAGCCCAGGTGCCTATCGAGTTGATAAGCTAATAAAACGGCCAACCTGCTGTAAATTTGACAACAAAATGCTAATTTTTGTTAAAATTTCGCAAGTTGTTTACTCCGGCCAACGCCCTTTTGTTTGAAATGCTATTGCGGCGGTGTGCTGAAGGGCCTACATGAAATTCGCTTAAAAACGCTGTTACATCCTGTGGTTAACGCTCTCTGAATTACGTTTACATTAGATCGGCGTGACAACGAACGCAACACCAACATGATAAACAAGATCATTGCTCTTTATGCAGTCAGCCGTGACACCTGCCAAAAGATGATGTGTTGGTATGTCTGCATCAGAAACGCATCGTATGACTATAGGGTCTGAATCGTTAAATATTTCGGTTTTTATATTCTCCTTAATACTACTTACCTAATGGATCTTGTTGGATCAAAGGTAAAATCGACCGGATTTCCTGAGAGCTCTATCTACTGAATCCTACTTCCGTGGATTACCGTTATTATTAAACCACTCTATGCGCTGATGGAAACACTGCACAGACCGGTCGAATGTCTGCTAAGGCGGCAGACTATACCTGTGAACTACTCGAATGTCCAATACGTTCGACGATTAACGTGCGGTGTAAGATAGAAAAGTCACAAAGCATCATTCTATTATCTCAATTGCGAGCCCACTTAAATTCACAGTCTCTATTAGAACCGTAGAAATAGAAGAATCTATTTTGACATGTCAGCTTGAACACGTACCTTGCTTTGAAGTAACGATCAACAGCAGAGCAAACGTTGATGATATCCAGTTGGCGTACTTCATTGTGACCGGTCAATCATAGAGAGCGAGGCTTCGGTATACGTTCCCGAAGTGACTGTCCCTTCAGTAATATTATCGTAATCCCTGCCGCACATCCACGAACCGACACAGCAACAGCGTTGTTATCGCGTACCGCTATACGGTCAGTGTGGCAATACGCTCATTTCCTATTGGACGTGCTCTTCAAAGTAAAGCCTAAGCTAAGATTTTTGACAGAGGCTTCTCTCCTGCATTTTTTAAGTACATCTGCAGGAACAGGGGTGCAGTATGTTTTGCGTCCGTTGTATGGGTTCCGCTTAAGCCGATGCCGTTAGAGAATGGCGCGCGGTGGCAACGTACGAATCCTGCTCTCTCAAAAAACCTCCCTATGTCCTCTGCGCGCCTTTGCCTGGGCTGGTCTGCTTCGATCTTATTTCTTTCACCTATGACCCGTCGACAACTGTTTTCCTCACTCGCTGCTGGACAACGTTCGTGGTAAAAGTCGTTCGATGTCACCAGCACTACAACAACGACAATAAACGGCAAGCGTAACAGTAAAAACGAACAATGATTCCAGCCGGCCGACCGGCGTATCGTAGCGGACGAGCCGAACGCGCGACAGAATTCTGCGAACAGTTTCAGCCCCGTCCAATCTTTACTTTCTCTGCCAGAACTGGCAGAACTCTCGTAGACGCAATGTGACGACACAATGTTAGAGCGAAGTGGCTGAAGCTTGTAGTTCGTCACAACTCCTATGCAACTCTTACAACTTAGCTCGCATAGATCACAATTGACTGTGTTATTGGTACTCGACGTACCCCTCTGCTTGATCTTAGCCAAACTCGACTCGCTCAATCGTCGCTTAGTACCATTTATTGCTTCTCTATCTCCAGCGCCGAATTCACTGTTGAAGCTCAACGAAGACTCAACGACATCCGAATGAACGTAGCTGTACCATCACAAACATGGGTTGTGACCGTGCCATCCGCGCGTTGGTATCACCGTTTCTTTGTTGAAGGGTAGTGACTACGGCCGTGAACAGGGCGGCAGCAGCAGCAGCAGCAGTAACGTAACCACTACTACCAAATGTCTTCAGACCGCCGTGTCTCACAACTGTGTTTGGTGTGATATGTACGAGTACGTGAACCAGTAACTGTTTTGTCGACAGGCTGCACGAACCAAGCGTGCCATAAAGAACGAAATAGAAAGCAAAAATGATAGAGAATTAGCGTCGCCTAGAGCAAAGAACGCTTGACCGCTTATTCATTCGGTCGTCCGTCTCGACGCACACATAGAAACACACATATACAGACGCACGCGTACCGATAGAGCGCGACAACTCTCAGTTTTCGCGAAGGAAGCACAGTGACACTGCGACCGTCGCAGCAGCTTTCGCGCTGATTGCTTTCTGATCCCCTTACCCTCTTGGTTCTCTCTGAAGGAGGAAGGCCAGGACGATACCCAGTGACTCTGGTAAACACACTGTTACGCCTCTTGATTTAGGCCGCCATTGATGCTGTCGACGAGACATAGGCCTGAGGCTACTTCGCCCTCGTCTTGCTGAGCCCGGCATGTCCGTTAAACGGCAGTTTGTGGTTCCTGATTGTATCAGGCTCTAAATCAACATCGTGCAATTTAATTCTATTGCATACTGTCCTTTCTAGGTAATGTGAGGCACTACAGAGTCACTAATTACGGTCATGGGTCTAATTCACCGCTGCAAGGGCAGCCTTTTCAGTTGGTTACAGTTGCTAATATTACGCGTCACGAATGCAGACTGTAGCCAAAGCTCTGTAAATACTAGATTAAATGTGATGGAAGAGTCTGCCACTGGCGTTCGATACGATTCCAAGTTCTGTTGTCCTACTGTTGAGAACAAAATCGGTTAGCGAGAGCTAGTGAGAGAGAGAGAGAGGGAGAGTGAGAGAGAGAGAGAGAGAGAGAGAGAGAGTGAGAGAGAGGGGGGGTGAGGGAGAGAGAGAGAGAACGGGTTTTGGGGTTACTGTGACAAAACCGCGGATGGCAGACAGAACAACCGTAGCGAAAATAAAGAAAATTCGGTTCGAACCAAATGTCGTTACTTGCCTTCCATTAGAAAAAGGAACCTATATATAATAACATGAAGGTTACTATTGAAGGGTATGCGCACCCTTAGCCGAAAACCTAATACTTGTGAGTGACATTAAATAAACGTATTGTCTTCCCTGCTTCTCTATGTGCATATATATATATATATATATTCATCAGCGTGATCCTTCTCTGAAATAGTGGTATCGAATGAAGCTCACGAGTAATGCAGCCATGGACGAACACTACGTCGCAGGAATGAAGTTTAAGACAAATATCATACGAATATAATCTTTTTTTTATGGCAGAAGATTCGGGCAAGTAATTATTGGTTTCTACTGTTTTTTTCATAAACTCCCTTCTGGATCCTATGTATAATTATTTTCTCTATATAGGCCAACTAAGTCCAACTCATCATTGACAGTCAAACTATTACTAATTTTAATTTGAAAAGTATTTCTGTTTATAGCTGGCAGCGATTTCTAATTAGTGATAGTTAGACGTCTAAATTCTGTTTTTAAGCTGACTGAGCCAGTGAGATAAAACGAATTCAATAGTAAGCTGGTCTATCAGTACCACAAACGAGAGCATGAACAAGTTAGTTGACTGAGGACACATGTGCCCGTTCGTCCTATTTACAGGTTGTTGCTCTCAAAACAGAACAGACTGATACGTAAAAAGGCCAACAACATTCCGTTTCGAAACTAGATTGGTTCGCTATAGAACTCAATTCAGCCAGATCCAAGGCGCCTTGTCGCCTTCGCAATGCGAAGTACCCTACTCGATACAAGTAAAGAAGGCAGTAACAAAGAGTGCCTTCTTTGCAATAGGTTTGGCTTAGCGCTGGAATAGCTCACGAACGCCACATTGGACACAAATAAAGGGCGTAATATAAGCCAATAGAAACAAAGGGTCTACAGAAGCGTGATTTCACAAACTGATTTATGTATCTTATAATAATGACAACAAGCATAAGCTGTTATGCTTCCGAGGCATATTCGGAGGGTGAGGCGGATAACCTCCTTGAAGCGATTTCGCAAGCGTTCGTGAGCCGGGACGACAAGTTGAATACTTACAAGCAACTCAATGTGGAAGCTTTCTACTTGTCCTTTTTTTATATCGAAATGTAAAAAATTTCTGCTGGGGACGCAGACGTGAAATGAATAGACTTTGGTGGCGTTCAAAGCGAAAGTACGAAACAGACAGTGTACAAACCTATTCGGACTCGGGCTAGGGATTGGCGCAACTTGAAAACAAATGTCATGTCAACAAATAGTTCGTGCTTTACCGCCGTTGACTCTGCTTTCGAAAAACATCTACTTACTGGGCTAGCAGACGGCCGACGAAAAAGGCAAACACACGAAGAGGGTTTCGCCCGCCGCCTGTTGCCTAATTGACTATATTTCGCGTTTTCTATTGGAACGAAGACCCAAAACTTTGAAGACTATTTCCAAAGCGGCAGTGGTATTAAAGAACTTCTGCAGTAATTGAGCGCAGACAGACCTGTCAATCGAAAAAATTCGGCTGCGCTCATTTTAAGGAAATAGGTTTTTTATTTCGTTTTTTTTTTATTTTGTTTGAAGTTGGCTCTCTCGCCGCTTTTTATCTACGGTAAACAAATATACGTATTATAACGGCTACGTTTACGGGACAAGCAGTTCTTAATTTTATTACAGCAAGGTGCCTGCAAAGTATTGCAGTTAGGCTATTGTCGACGTTGACTCCCCTCGCACTTTCTGGCTGAATAAGCGGTGCGCAAGGTGACGCGTTCAAGCACAACCGAAGGTACTTCTCAACTACCGTCTGTTATTGGTTTTTGTTCCCGAAACTAGATACAAAGGAAACAGGGTGTGAAGAAGTGTGAGCGCAGC